ACCATGTTTTTTTTTTGAATCTATATGTGGAGTAGACTTTTGGGACAGCTAATATGGGAAACTAGATTAAACACACAATGGAAAACGTAAGAGTTTTCATCCATACATGCATCCTTTTTCAAGGCTACACTTAGCTTGTTTGCAAATCTAAATTCTAGGCTCCATTCATAAAATACCATCATGGCTTCTTTAGGATCCATTCATGACTTCCTTACTTAACGACAGAGTATATGAGTCAAAAGGAATCACGTTGTCTGTATGTCACCTGTCAATATCAGCCAACATAAGTACTGATCAGGGCTGGAGCTGCCAGGTCTAATATGTGACATTGCAGCAGATTGTGCTGTGTGGTGTAATTTCTTATTACAGGCCTACTCCAATATACATGGTAGATGGATTCTTGTGTACCCTGCCCTCCCCCCCCTCCCCCCCCCCCCCCTATACTCAACCATCTTTCTTCCTTTTTTTGTGTCCAATTACAGTTGTATTAACCCCATTTCAGGAACCATCAGTCATGTAATTGTCCAATCAGCACGAAGATAAGGCTCCTTATCAGGTTTCCTAACAAATATTAAGACCAACTGGAAACAGTACAGATTCATGAGCCCTTGGGAGAGGGCTCCATACCAGAGACCCGCACTTCACCCTCTTCCCGGTCCTTCTGTGTCTGTCCGCTGTTCTTTATTTTTATCATCTCAGCTCTCTCCATCGTCCTGATTTCCTCTTTTCATTTCCTTATCTCCTTACTAGCATCAGTCAGTCATGTAAAGATGTTGTCCCCCCTTTTTTTTTGTTCCCCAAACACTCTTTTGTGTCCTGGATAGCTCTCCCGTTGACCCGCTTTCCAAATCTAATCTCGAGGGTTTAATCAATAACGGAGATGTATTAAAGCCTTTTTTCTTTTATGGGCCTTTCATTCAGCCTCTGTCACAAACACACACACATGCACACACACACACACACATGCACGCGTCACTGACATCGTCATTAGATAAACATGATGACTGTGTAGATGTAATTACTGTTGAATTAGCCATAATTAGCACCAGCTAAATCCAAGAAGGATTATAGGCACGCACTGCTGTACAAGAATGGTACAGCTTGTACTAGTTTTGATGTAAATGTAGAGCACAGCATGTCCTATTTTTCTTTGCGAGTTTACAACCTCTTAATCTTAGCTCCAGGTGACAGAGGGCCGAGTTAAGTTACAGTGCACCTAATTCATCCAACAATCACCTTTTTTTGTTTTGCAGTTTAAACAACCACTTTATTGTTGTGGATAGATGAATGGCTATTTCACATGTGACTATCCAGTTCTTGGAAGAGTACCCAGACCTCACAGACCCACACAGCTGTTCCTCCCCAGCAGTATTAAAAGAATCTAACAGTGTGGCAGTCACTGCCCATTTGCTCACTCAGAAATGAATGCTGCACATTATCCATGCTAGCTCAGAGCCAGAGGAATGAATGCAATTTGACCCTGTGATCTCACCTATAACAGCCTGTGTGCTTACTTGATAATGTTGTTTCCCTTTCCTTAAACGTTTATCCAAGTGATAGGCAGGAACCTGTCCTAGCTGATACAGGGTGAAAGGTGAGATACACCAAAGCAGGTCAGCGGTCTTTCACAAGGCTAACACAAAGAGACCACACACTGTCACGCTGCCGATTTAGAACCGCCAGTTAATCCAACATGTATATTTTAGACGGTGCGAGGAAGAAGCACAGCTGCACATGCAAACCTATGCAAAGAAAATTCACATTCTAAGTACCAGCAACACTGCTTGCAAAGCCTTGTGAGCTACCTAACAGGCCCGCATTTTGTTTTTTTAACCACACTGTAGTTTTTACTCTTTCTTTTTCTTACCAGACAATTATTCAGGTATTTAGTTTTTCTTTGACCACAGTTCTTGTTAATTAAAAAAGTGCCTATTCCCAGAATTCTCATCTTGTGTTCATCTTTGCATCTGAGTCACAAAGTTGAATACACAGCAATATTTCCAAAACCTACCAGGGCCTTTAAAAAGTGCCCTAGTTTCTGAAGGAATAACTAGAAATCTCAAAGATTCTTCTTTCAGATTTCCATCCATTGCTTTACAAGATTACATGTTAAATAAAAGTTTCTCTGCTCTATCTTTTTCTGTCTTCTTCATGACAAAGTCAGAGGCTCCAGAGCAGACTTGACAGCTAATAACTGGTGCCAATGCATAATGCTTCCTTTTCTTATATATCTCCGTTTTTATCATTTTGTAATTTCTTCCAGTGCCACTGGAGTCTGTGGCAGCCCACAGAACTGTATAATAGCTTCAACCGTCTATATAAGCCAATCACATGACCACTTCAAGACAAAGCAACAAGGTGATAAATACCAGTTTATAAATTGTGTTGATAGGCCACGTAAAACCAGAGTCATGATAAACAATATATACACGGCATTTTTTCCTCAATAGTTTCGTCATGTTTACTGTCTAAGGACAGAGCAGCAAGCACTCTCTGCTTATGAGCAAAAACAAACTAAACAAAAAAGGGGAACGTTTAGGAGTGACGGCACGAGAGAGAGCGAGTTTTGAGATGTGAGAGATTTGTGACGTTTAGCGTGTTTGGAGTGTGTAGTTAATGTGTTGTCTTGTGTAGTGGAGTTAGTGTGTAGTGTTGTGGATAGTATTGCGTTGTGTGTCAGAACAATGAGGCGACTGCTGTCTCCAGGTAGAAAAAGGAGTGATACACCTGCTGCTGTCAGACCTGCAGGTATCAGGCTGTGATGTTCTCCTTTAGAATAGAATTCAACTTTATTGTCATTGCACATGCACAGGTACAGGGCAACGAAATGCAGTTTGCATCCATCCAGAAGTGCTTTAGTGATATAGATATATTACAATATATATTAGCAATAGTATAGATATGTAAGTATATTACAGAAATGGGTCTATTATGGTATGTTATAATGTACACAGTATGAAGTATGTTGTGAATATTCTATAACTATAAGTATGTACAGGCTGTAGTGAGTACAAGCTATGTACAGGCTATGAACAGGATATAAATATGAAAATGTCAGTCAAACATTCCACTTTATAGTGGACAGAAATAATTTTTTTGGAGTGGCACAAATAATTTGTGTGGCATCTTATTGAATGCAGAACAGCTGATTGTTCTGTAAATAGTTTGAAATGGTTATTTAAAAAAATCAAGGTAAAAGGTAAATATAGATAAAAAAATATATAACTTTTTCTACCCTGATTTTAGATCAATTGTGTTAATACAGTATGTCAAAATGAAAACATGACTGTAAATTCAGACACGTGAGGTTGTGCTGAAAAGGATGATACCAAACAAGGCAAATAAATGTTTTTAAAGGTGAAATGTGGAGGGGAAATCAAAAGTAGTTAAAAATGGCCAAAAAGTAACGCAATAGTTACTTTTCAAGTAATTAATTACTTTTAGAATATTGTAACTCAGTTACTCAGTTACTTTTTTGAAGAAGTAACTAGTAACTATAACTAATTACTTTTTCAAAGTAACTTGCCCAACACTGCTGATTGTAGGGTTCCCCACCTCATGAATCCCACTGTAACCTCTGCCCTACTCATTTTCCTGTTTAGAGGCAAACTCACACTCTACAATGTAGGAAATAGAAAATTTAGATTTAACTGTACTTTTCATCTGCTCCTGTTTTATTTTACTGATTCAAGCTGAACACATTTAGTAGAATTAAAATTTAGACTGAAGTCAAGCTTAAGTAATCCCATTAATTTATATGATTTTATTATTACATTAATATAGCACAAGGCTCACTTAGCTTTGGAGAAAAATAAGTGGTAGAAATGTCCCCCAAAGACCTACTTTTTTATTTTCTTACTTTTAGTACATTTTAGAGCCTCTGCTTTTTCGGTTTTACTTGAATAAAGAAGTTGGATCATTACCTCAACCTTTACTGGAGTATTTTGAGCACTAGTATCTGTACTTAAGCACAGAATCCCAAAAAGTTGATTCTGTTCCTGTGGAAGTAGCATTTCCAGTGGGAGAAACATTTCATCACAAATCCAAGTGACTTCTTCAGCCTCAGCATCCAAAGCCAACATCTGTTTAATTAGCTGATAAATAAATGTTGGCCACTTTCAGTTCCCATTCTAACCTGTTCAGGTCATCAAGGCGCTGAGGTTTTTATATATCGAGTTTCCTGGGATTAGAATCCTGTCTCGTATTGAAATTGTCTTTCCAGTCTTAAATGTCCAGCACTGTTCGCTGTAGTTGTCTTTTATGAAATAATATTCAGTTCTCATGCCAGAGTCTAGTATATAATCTGATGGCCGACCCTGAGTATGTATGATGAATTTCAAAACGCCATAGTCCATATTCCCAGGGTAGAGTGGCACCCCTGTAACAGCTACCAGCCCCAGAGACCACATGTCAGTTGCTTCATTATATGGAATATGAAGCATGACTTCAGATGCCCTTTAATAAACTGTCTGTATACAGGCACTAGGATGATGCAATGATGTAGTAAATCTGTTCCCCCCCACACACACACACACAATTAAACAGGCATTAATCTTAGCTGACCAACTGTAGCAACTCAGCATAACCATCACAAACTGAACACTTACTTTTGTGTTTACTTCCATTTTGTACACTCAGCCTTTGCAACCAGAAGCTCACACTCTAAAGTAGCATTTACAACCAGATATACAGATTTTTATCTATCACCCTCGATGAATCACTACTGTATCGTGGTGGGGGAATTTGCAGGAGCAAATGAGTCCTAGGTGAGAGACCAGACAAAGAGCAATTCAGAAGTAACTGGCTACAAGACCAAGTGAAGAGTTCACCTCTAAATGCCACCATTTAAAGAGAAAATGAAATGTTCATCCAGAAAAACACATACTGAAACTCTCCTTTAAATTGTACAGTAGATCGTATTATTGTACAATCTACTGTACAATTTAAAGCCCCTTGAGGCAACTGTTTTTGTGATTTGGTGCTATATAAATAAAATTGAATTGAATTGAAGACTTTAATGCAGAGAACCAAGTCTGTGTTACCAAATCATGTGTTTTCTTTGACAGGAGGTTGACAGCAACATTTGACAGGAGGTTATGTTAGTGACAATGAAACAAGTCAATCACATCTAGTGGAAGAGAAAGAATGAACACACCTTCTGATTGAGCTTCTACAGTAGATGTCAGAAAGTGTATTTGGAGTATTCAGATAATTCTGCAGACACGTGTTACAGTGTTTAATCCAATGTTAAATACCAATTTGGATTCAAGGAAAATAATGATTTTATAACAATTAAAGGGTCAGACTAAAGAAAGCAACACAGTATAGTGTAAGTCAGTATCCTTCTGCTTAACAGTGCTGAAGGTGAGGTCACTTTAAGAAAACCCTCAGAGTCCCAGAGCTTCTTTCTTCACGCTGCAACCCAGCAGGACATTTCCAGCATCCACACACTCTGACACAAACGGTGCTAAAAACACAAAACACTCAATGATTATAGAAATTGATATGGGGGAAAAAGCTGACTATAGCATTTTATTTTCATTGTGATGATTACTACCTTTGTGAGCTTGGAGCCATGAGGCAGCCTTCACAGCCAGAAGCTCCCACTCGTCCTTTGCATCCATCTTGAAACCATGAAGCCAGATCAGAGCCAGAATGGTGGCCCACACTTCACTGCTGGCCTAATTCATCAAGTGAAAGACAATCAGATAAAACAGGAAACATGAAAATTATCATCTTAATTTCTGCAAATAATATAAATGTAAAATAAGACAGTGATATACTTTAAGAACTTCTGATGATGAAAATGATTTCTGCTGCTTTGTGGTTACTGGACAATATCAGACTTTAGTGCAGCTCAGTGGTTGCTCATGAGTGTTGTAACGTGCGGTGGAGATGAAGCCAGCCGCGGAGGTGTGCAGGTGGATAGCGAATGAGCAACAGCTTCTGACTTTCCAAAAAGTACTCATTTATTTACAATATCAAAAATAAAAGTGCTACCTCTACCACACATTACTAAAGAGCACACTAGTCCGCGTACACACGGGAGCAGCCATTACAGGAGGAGTGCGAAGAAGATACATGACACACCAGTCATGAGACAGGAGGCGACGCCATGTGGCCATACACTGCATTACAATAGCAACTGTTACATAGTCCCCCCTGGTGAGAAAAAGGCTGTCCTCAGCCGTACACAGCTGAAAAAGCACACACCACACCTAACAGTACCCTACACATAGAGGTTACAGCTAAGATTGGTGCACACACACAGGGCAAAAGACCATTTAAAAATGAAATTGGTGAAAATAAGACGAATATGTACAGTGGAAAATCAGTTTTCTTAGTTTTTTTCACTTTTTTTTTTTAAAGTAAAGGCCAAGAATGAACCTTAATGCACTAAAGAGCCATAAAACTGGATTAAGTAGAGCAAACAGAAACATCTACATATCACGACTCAAAATAGCAATGCAACAAGACAGCATCAAACAGGTTTAACCAAAACATTTCACTTCAGATCAAGCCTGGTTGTGTGAAAATCATGAGTCCATCTTTTGTTGCTTCAGCCAGACGTAACTCTGGGGCAACGTCTGGGCCTGAAATTGCAATGTCCACCAGCAGCTGGGTGCTGGACAGATCTGGGTGAAAGACTGTCTGAAACAGTGCCCACACCAGAAGAAGAGTCAATGTCCGGTAAATCAAAGGGGAATGGCTCAGAGTCAATGTCAGTGTCTGCAGGGGGGCCAGGGTGGGCCTGAGAGTCAGAGTTCAGATCCTCTGTGGTCTCTCTCCCAGCAGGCGATGAAACAGATTGTTCTTTGGAAGTGAGAGAGTCCCAGGTATGGAACGGTTGCATGTTCACAACATGATAAACACCTGCATCCACACCGGAGTCCACCCAAGTGAGCCTGTAATTAACATCACTGAGTCTCTGAGATACACACAATGGTCCCTCAAACGGTGGTGCAAGTTTAGCAGTAAAGTTAGACTGAGCGTCTGACCTGGGGTGTGTCTTAACTCTCACAAGGTCACCAACACGAAACGTGGCATGTCGATGTCTCAAGTCATAGTAGGGCTGCACGATTAATTGTTAGAAAATCGCGATCTCGATTTATACTTATGTGCGATCTCATTTCCAAATGACAACGATTTAAAAAAAAAAAAAAAAAAAAAAAAAAAAAAAAACGACGACGATTGTACCGCATTTTGATCCGGGACGTAATCTGCATGAAAACAAGCACTCACTCTTCCTGCTCAACAAATGACAAGGGCGGAGCCTTATACCACATGATACAGAAGCTGTGCCCAGTGTTGCCAACTTAGCGACTTTGTCGCTATATTTAGCTACTTATTTATTTATTTATTTAGGACAGTGCATGTTAATGAACATAAATGTAAAAAAAAAAAAATTACATGAATGTAAACATACCAGATTATAGCCAAGGGCTAATTTCCATCTGTTGTCCTTAAGCATAAAAATAGACATAATAATTCATAAAAATTCATCATTCATTCATAATAAAAACTCCATCACCAAACTTACACATACACACCATTCTGTTCCCAAATAAAACATTAAAACTATACAACTTATACATGATCACACACTTGATTTGTCCATAACCAGTTTTTAACCTTTGCCTTAAACTAATTGAATGTCGAGCATTCTCTAATGGGTTGAGGAAGACTGTTCCACAGATGGCCACCCTGGACAGAAAGGACGTTCTGACCAAATGCTGTCCGTCTGTGGGGTATAAACAAGTCTCCTCGGATTGTAGCTCGAGTGGTCCTGTCTGAGCTTTCTTTATGCCTAATGAACTGCTTTAGTGGTGGTGGAGCAAGGGAGTGTAAGACTTTATATATTAAACTCACTCTTTTAAGTTTCACTAAGTTATTGAAGTTCAGTAATTTATGTTTTTTTAACACATGACAGTGGTGGTGGGAAGTCGGTTTTTTGTCAAGTAGTTTTAAACTTCTTTTATAAATGTTTTCAATAGTTTTAAGTGTTGTTGGACAAGCGAGTTTTCAGACCCCTTAGCGACTTTTTTTAGAGAAAAAGTCACTAAAAAAAGACGTGAAAGCGCGTATCGCTTTTACTCTCAACAAGCAGCGGGTGCTGTAACGCAGTCAGTTCTTCTTTTACTCTTAAGCTGTTTTGTGGATCACAATGTTTAAAACTACTTATAAACACACACACACAAAGTAACTCCACCAGAGTGCCTATTTCGGGTCACTTTTGCCGGTCCAAGCCCGGGTAAAGGAGCAGGGTTGGAATTGTGACATTAAAAAAACAATAATTGCTAAAAGAAATTTAATTTGTAGTTCTAAATAAACTCTAAATGCATTTAGGACGTTTTTTACTCACTTTATGTCTCTTCCACGATGTTACTTCTCTCTCCAACGGAATTTCAAGCAGTTCAACATTTTGCGGCAACAACAAAACGTGAGACATTTGTTGTTTTTATGTTTATTTATTGTTTTTATATTCAGTATCAACTGTTATGAAGTTGATGTGTAGTTAATAAGTGCAATAAATATTTATACTGGAAAAGAAAATCGTGAGAGAATCGTGATCTCAATTCTAAGCAAAAAAATCGTGATTCTCATTTTATGCAAAATCGTGCAGCCCTAAGTCATAGTAACATTTTTGTCTGTCATGGCTATAGTCCAGAGCTGCTTTGGCGTGGTTGTGAGCTTCCTGCAGGGACGCTCTCAGAGATCTGGTAAAAATTCAGTCGGCCTGTCACAGGTCAGAGGCAAAGGGTTGCGTGACAGTGCGTCGGGAACTTTGTTTTGTGCACCAGGCTTGTGCACTATTGTGAAATCAAAGTCCTGCAAATGAAGTGACCAGCGGGCGAGTCGGCCCGTTGGGTTTTGACAAGACATGAGCCACCTGAGACTGTTGTGGTCAGTGAAGATAGTAACATGAACACCTTCAACATATGGGCGGAAGTGTTCCAGAGCCCATATCACAGCAAGGCACTCCTTCTCTGAAGTGCAGTAGGGGAGTTCAGCTTTGTGAAGGGAGCGACTAGCAAAAGCCACAACATACTCACGACCCTTGTCATCCTTTTGCATCAACACTGCCCCAAGACCAATGTCACATGCATCGGCGTGAATGGAAAAGGGACGGTTGAAGTCTGGAACTGTTACAGTGTGAGTGTCTGATATACAGATGCTTACTTTCATGCAGCAAGAAGGCCTACAGTTAGTCTGACTTTATTTCCATTTGTTTTCTGTTGTGTTGTAATTCTAGTTTTCATTCAGATCATGCTATGAAATTAGTTATACAGTATTTTACATTTGTGTTACTATTTCAACAGCCAAAGCAACAGCCCACCTTTTCAGGCTTCGACTTTTCCATCTCCTCGTCGGTCTTTCCCACTGCAGCAGCCAGAGCTGGATCAAGCAGCCAGCAGCCAGACGCCTCCTGCAGGGAGACTAACTGCAGCAAAGGGTCTCTGGGTGGCTGCTCAGGCACAGCAGCTGGAAAATCTAAGATGGAATAAAGACAAAACCTGATTATGGTGCTAGATGAGACAACATAAAGTGTATATGACTAACCAATGCACAAACCATTACACCTTAAACAGTTATAAATAACGTCTTATTTGATTAATTTGAATATCTGTCAAAAATGTAACATTAAATATAGGGATGGGTACCGGTGTCATGGCACCGGTTCTGACATAAACGGTAGTAACCAGACCGAAAAACAGCGCACATTTCGGTGCTTTATTTTGGTGCTTTTTTTTCCTGAGCTGTGATACACTTCTAGCCAATAATTTTACGTTTCCCAGGATAGTAGGCGGGTCCAGGTACGTACGTTCTTTTAGAGCAGAGCTACAGATTAAAAATTCCCAAGGAGAAGCGGTCAAAAGTCTGGCTGTACTTCACAGCAAAATATGCAAACTCAGCAGCCTGCAACAAGTGCTTTAAGCTGATACTGTGATACTGTCAAAGGAGGTAACACCTCAAATCCGATGAAACACCTGGCGACGCATAGCGTTTTTTTTAAAAGCCCAGAAATGCGCCGTATGATAGCTTGCTGCGAGACCTCACACCGAGCGCATCTACTGTACGTGGGTTGCCTGTTATCGGACCCGGAGTCAGCAATATCCCCCAAAAACCCCGAAGAGGAGAGTCCTGGCCCCTAGCCCTGTCAGTGTAGCAGAAATGATGACGGATGATGATGGCAGCAGCAGCGGTTCTTCTCTGCGTGAGTCGCTTAATGTTGTTCGTGTGTAATTTACGTTGAGTAGGCTAACCACGTTATTACATTAATGCATGTAAGGTGAACTAGCAAACATCATCATAGCTACATGCGGCTGTCTTCTTGTTTGATGGCAGATACTCCCTTCACCCTGGCCAAAAAGGCTAAAATGACCAAAGAAAAAGTGGAAAACAGTTAAACATGAGAGGTTTAGGACAAAGTTTGTGTTTTTTCCATTGTTTAAGCACTGCTTCCAGCCAAGAGTGATACCATATATGCCCCATAGCTGCAGAAAAGGCTAACATTGTTATCTTTTTACAAAAAACCAGCTGAACATGAGAGGTTTTTGGACCAATTTTGTGTTCTCCATTCTTTAAGCACCGGTTTGAGCACCGGCACAGTTTCAAAAGTACCGATTTGGCACCGGTATCGGATAAAACCTAAACGATACCCATCCCTAGTTAAATCTAATTACCAAAGCAATTCATGTGACAAATTGTGTATTTACAACAGCCTTAAAACTGACAACACCACACACCCCAGCATTAGACTTTATGAATTGAACAGGCGGAAGTTAGTCGGATTTTAATCAGATGAATACTGACGAAATGATGTTATATAAGGTCTTGTTCTCATGCTTTATAATAAAAATATGTCTCCAATTTGCTAAATCCAAGAGGTCAGAAGACACTAAAGCAAAGAAAACTTAATAACAGTAAATCCTCGCTTTTATCTATTTTATTATTATTGTTTTATTATTAAGGGTCCTAAAAGAGTGTGCAGACCAACTGGCTGGGGTCTTCACTAAGATCTTCAACACTTCACTGTCCCAGTCCTGCATCCCGCCGTGCCTAAAGTCAGCCACAATTGTCCCACTGCCAAAGCATTCTAACATTAGCAGCCTCAACGACTACCGACCAGTTGCTCTAACACCTGTTATAATGAAGTGCTTTGAGAAACTGGTCCGACGTCACATCATGTCCTGCCTGCCTGCCACCCACATTCGACCCGCTCCAGTTTGCATACAGAGCTAACAGATCAACTGAAGATGCCATTGCTACAACGCTCCACACCACCATCTCTCACCTGGAAGTGCAGGGCCGTTACGCCAGGCTGCTTTTTGTTAACTTTAGCTCTGCTTTCAATACGATACTCCCGGACAGACTAATAGTTAACAACCTGTGTGTAGATAACAACCTGGACCTCAATACCACCAAGACAAAAGTCGACTTCAGAAGGAGGAAGTCTGAGCTGCAGCCTGTCAGCATCAACGGGGAGTGCGTGGAAAGGGTCTCCAGTTTCAAGTTTCTGGGTGTGCACATAGACACAGACCTCCAATGGAGCTCTAACACCTCTGCGGTCTTAAAGAAGGCCCAACAGCATCTCCACTTTCGGAGAATCCTCAGAAAAATGGACCTGAAGAAAGAGCTGCTGACCGTCTTCTACCGCTGCTCCACTGAAAGTGTGCTGACATATTGCATCGGTGTGTGGTTCTCCAGCTGCACCACAGCACACAGAAAGGCACTCCAGAGAGTCATTAATATGGCCCCAAAAAATCATTGGACATCCTCTTCCCTCCCTGAAGGACCTGTACAGCACTCGCTGTCTCAAGAGGGCACGCAGCATCCTACGGGACTGTAAACACTGAGGACACCGGGCAGGAGGTTCAGGCTGCTGAGGTCCCGAACAAATAGACTCAAGGACAGCTTTTACAGCAGGGCAATAGCCCTGATCAATGCAAATAGCTGACCTGATTGGCTACCCTGGACTTTTTTTTTTGGGGGGGGGGGGGGGGGGAGGTAACAATGTTTAAAACAATAACAATAATAATATTTATATTTATAACAAGGTGCAATAATAATTAATGTGCAATAATAACAGTGTTCAATACACATACACTTATTCTTCATTTGTTTTATTACTAAGTTATTATACTGTGTTGTGTTGTTTGTGTTGCGTTGTGATGTGTCGTATTGTGTGTTGTGTTATATGTAGTGCCAACGTAGGACAGTTTTCCAATTTCATTGTACTACTGTACTATGTATGACTGTGCAGTGACAATAAAGAGTTATCGCATCTTATTAGAATATTAGACTAATAAATTATTCAGCAGGAGAAAAGTGGATCTTCTGTCAAAAAAGGCATAAAGTAGAATCAACTGCTACCACCAGCAGCTTAACAGCTCAACATTGCTCATTTGCTGTTGTAGTTTACTGTATATGTCACATATTCTCAAGATTGCTGTAACAATTTCTACATGCAGTAGCTAGAATATAGAATAATAATTTGCTCAACTTCAAAAATGTATTGATATATAGGGTGCCTTGTCCTTGATTTTTATATATTGTGACTGTCGTCTGTCTTAAACTACACTATTAACGGCTTATTACTGAAATCGCATCCATCTTTTTGCACTTTAATAAATATAGTGAGGTATTTTTCCCCAGAGGCACTGCATAATCACTCTGTGATTAAATCTGTCTCAGTTAAGGTAAATGACTGCAGAGAAAGCGTGGGGTTATTTCTGTAGACTCAACATTCTTTTGTCCAAATGGACTCTGCCGTATGTGTCCATGCAAGATGACTGCAGCATGGAAATACAAAAGATGTTTTGCTCTGAAATTCTCAGTCTTACACGAGGCACTCCTGTGGCTGGTTTTTTAGGGGTTAAAATGACCATAGCTTACCCTGGCATTCCTCACAATATCTTCAAGGTAAAGTATGCTGACCACGCCACAGTCGTGTATCTGGAGTGACAGTGGGCTGGAGAACAGCTAAAACCCATCCACTCAAAAATCAAAACTATTGTGATGCTCTCAGTGCAGTCATCCAGGCGTGAGTTGCAGCACTTTTGGGGGATGGAAGGTTAGTGCAGAGGTTTCTGTAAAAGTGTTTCCACTGTCGCTTACTGTATTTACACAAAACACACATCTTTGTTTCTTTTCTGTTTAGTGTTTCACTTACCTTGTGAAGCCATAGCACCGTGCTGGGCTAGTGAGGAAAAATGTTCTAGATTAAAAGAAGAGAAGAAATAAAGACATTACAAATCTTTATTATTTTGAACTTGTATGATAGGTTTGTAGCATAAACATATTTGCTGAAACGTTAAGGACCATTTAATTACACAGCAAACCAAGACACGAGTAGGCAAAGTTCTTTATGTTTCTCGTGCACGGGAGAGAACTGGACAAACGCCGTGTGTGTGTGTGTGTGTGTGTGTGTGTGTGTGTGTGTGTGTGTGTGTGTGTGTGGGGGGGGGGGGGGGGGTTAGAAGACCGATTAAGACTTCCCTAAACCTGCTGGTCTGGAAGTTCAGCAGTTCATCTAAACAAAAGGCACTTTTAGACTAAAACTGACATAGCTACGTTTCTACGTTTATCCTACCATAAAACAAGAGAAGGTACGACCTCTCCCATGCTCCCAGGATGTGGGTGTGAATGCCAGAACACTCTGGAATGCACACAAAGCCTTTGCAGACTCCTAGGGATCGCACATCCTATCACTACACAATCGATTATGCACCTCTAAGCATATATGGTTAAATATTTCTAAGCATAAATGACAACAACAATATAAACCTAACATTGTTAAAATGTAAAGTTTTTAAAAATGCAACTTTTTACACACTGACTTAGAGCACATTACAAGTGTTTAAAATGAGTGAGTCATTTAAAACTACAATTAAAATCACAAAAAGATACAACTTTGAATATTAATGTTGGAACTGTATCCTCACCCAGAAATTAATTAATTAATTAATTAATTAAATATATATATATGCATACTCTTTTTTTATTTTCAGTCCACAAACCACATGTAGATTGGTTAGGCAAACTCCCATGCACACTCAAGTATCGTTGAGAGGATAAAGAGCACTGGTCCAGTGTTAAAACAGAAATGTGTTTGTTTGCGTCTGTGTTTTTGAAAATGCATGAAGATATGTTGTTCTGCCATTTAATTTTTTACTTACTTTTATGCAGACGATCACCAACTGAAGTAAAAACAAAGAAGAAAGAAAGAAAAGGGAGTCAAAATATTTCATAACAATTTGTTAAAGAGAACAATTAATGGACTGACTTCGCCTGCATCCTGTTCTCTGATTGGTTGCTGAAGTATTTCTACCAGTTGCTCACCATCCGCGATTTGCACAATTGTCTATTTCCATTGTTTTCTAGTCTTAAGCTTTTTCATGTTAGTTCTTTTCCAATTACTTGTCCATCCTGCGTCAAGCACTATCTGCCACATGTTTGATTTAGCAGTTAAGACGAGATGATTTGAAAACAAAATATAAATGAAGCTACTGGATTCTGATTTTACTGCAGTACCTTACAGTTCATTATAAGTAGTCTTTCAAGTCTATGTGGTGTTCAATAATATTCTGAATATATCAAAATGTTGTAAAAGTTCAACCTTCTTTAGTCACCATGTGGTGTGAATGAGACACGGTGGGTCCAGGGATCATAGGTTTGAGCCATTTTATTCAATATTTGTCACACCACAACACACACCAACCCCTGAGTCCCCGTGTTTTTAACTAGGCGGGTGTGATTAAGGATGCCGTGCAGGTGCGTCCGCCCTCCTTGCACGGCACCGCAGACCACGCCCCACCACACACCACTTTAAGATACTCTGTTAATATGTTAATAATGGCAAACGAAGAAATACAGACAAAGCATTTTACTTTCAACATTTCAAATAAAATTCAAAGAGAAATGTGTTGGTTTGTTTACATTTATTTTTAAACATATGTGCTGTTCTGCCATCCAGCTTTTACTTATACTTACCCCACCGACTAAACTTCTGGAAGGTACCAACTGTGAAGTCAAGAGTTAAAAAAAATAAATTAGGGTTAAAACATTTAACAAGTATTTGCTAAAATAACAACAAAAGTACAGATTTTTAATATTACTGTGGTGATATATACACTCAACAAAAATATAAACGCAACACCTTTGTTACTGCTCCCATTCCCCATGGGATGGACGTAGAGACCTAAAATTCATTCCAGATACACAATATAACCATCCCTCCCAAACAGTGGTCACAAATCAGTCCAAATGTGTGGTAGTGGGTACATCTGCTATATTGAGGTAATCCATCCCACCTCACAGGTGTGCCACATCAGGATGCTGATCTGACATCATGAGTAGTGCACAGGTGTACCTCAGACTGCCCACAACAAAAGGCCACCCTGGAATGTGCAGTTTTTTGCACTATTGGAAGTCTGGGGACCCAGAACTGGTCAGTATCTGGTGTGACCACCATTTGCCTCATGCAGTGCAACACATCGTCGCATGGAGTCTATCAGATTGTCAATTGTGGCCTGTGGAATGTTGGTCCACTCCACTTCAATGGCTGTGCGAGGTTGTTGGATATTCGTGGGAACTGGTACACACTGTCGTATACGCCGGTCAAGCACATCCCGAACATGCTCAATGGGTGACATGTCCAGTGAGTATGCTGGCCATGCAAGAACTGGGACATTCTCAGCTGCCATCTGCCCTGAACAATGTGAACCATGATTCATCCGTGAAGCGCACACCTCTCCAACGTGCCAGACGCCATCGAATGTGAGCATTTGCCCACACAAGTCTGTTACGGCGACGAGCTGGAGTCAGGTCAAGACCCCGATGAGGACGACGGGCATGCAGTTGAGCGTCCCGGAGACGGTTTCTGACAGTTTGTGCAGAAATTGTTTGGTTGTGCAAACCAATTGTTCCAGCAGCTGTCTGGGTGGCTGGTCTCAGACGATCTTGGAGGTGAACCTGCTGGATGTGGAGGTCCTGGGCTGGTGTGGTTACACGAGGTCTGCGGTTGTGAGGCCGGTTGGATGTGCTGCCATATTCTCTGAAACGCCTGTGGAGACGGCTTATGGTTGAGAAATGAACATTCAATGCACGGGCGACAGATCTGGTTGACATTCCTGCTGTCAGCATGCCAATTGCACGCTCCCTCATTGTTTGTGGCATCTGTGGCATTTTGCTGTGAGACAAAACTGCACATTCCAGGGTGGCCTTTTGTTGTGGGCAGTCTGAGGTACACCTGTGCACTACTCATGATGTCAGATCAGCATCCTGATGTGGCACACCTGTGAGGTGGGATGGATTATCTCAATATAGCAGATGTGCCCACTACCACACATTTGGACTGATTTGTGACCACTGTTTGGGAGGGATGGTTATATTGTGTATCTGGAATGAATTTTAGGTCTCTACGTCCATCCCATGGGGAATGGGAGCAGTAACAAAGGTGTTGCGTTTATATTTTTGTTGAGTGTAAATACAACACAAATATTACAAACAGTATTTTAGGTTTATCTTAGCAGTCTAGTTTTTACATCCTGCGAGGACCTGTAACTCATTCAGAAATTATATTCCCAAATACATTAAGAAGGCAAGTGGAAATAATGTCCCCAACTAATAAAAGCAAAATAGTTTACATAAAATGTAAAACACAATTTCAGTTATTTGGACTTTTGACATATCATAATCTTATTTGTGTTATTTTATAGCTCTGAAGTCCTGAATGTTGTAAATGTAGGAAGTAGTAAACACAGTCAAATCCTTCTATGAATAAGTGTAATCAAAGTTTTGACACATAATACAAATTTTTCTTCTACTCCCACTTTTTGTTGCACACTCGTAGTATACAATAAATAATCTAAAATACTGGATTCTGATATTATGTTGTGCCTCAAAAGTCACAACAAAAATATAAATGTAAATATGTTCAATTAAATTATAAATGTTGCAAAATGTTGTACGAACCTGATTTTCTTCATTTACTGATGTAGCATACATCCTATCTACCAAGGCAAGTACTGCAGCTACACTACATACAATATTTAATATATAAAACTTCAAGTTAAAAGAGAAATATTTTCTTTCTGTGCCTTCATTTGCATAGCTGTGTATGTGTGTGTGTTGATTTGTCATTCAAATTTTACTTACTTATGGGCAATGGAGCACTCTTCTTCATTTTGCCTACAATGAAGTCAAGCCAAAAAAAAAGAAAGTCAGATTTTTCTGGTATTTGAAGTATAACAGCACTAAGTTGATGTTATTTTGGTGATATAACACAAAGGCAAATATTACAATTGGGTTTTAGAGCTTCCTCTTTTCAGTCCGTGTCATTTCAAGACTTTTTCCCTTTCACAGTTCTCTCATCTCTAATTAGTCACTGCAGTATTTACACCACTTGCTCATTACACTTTTTTGGGGTCAGATTTGTCAGATTACCTAGTTCTATTGTTCAACAGTATTTAATTTTTTTTCCCCTCAGTTTATTTTGATTCCTTGAATCATGTGTTTAGTAGTAAATGTCACGTTTTGTTTAACTGCCGTCCCTTTTAAGGAGTCATACTTTAGGATCCATTGAGCTGACTCTAGTATATTCTGCTCTTCACTATATCAAAAAAATTATATGCAAAATAAAACAAAAACCTGCTGACTGTAATAGTATAACACAGTACACTCTTATGCTTTTTTACTCTTAGCATTTTCATTGTGCTGATTTCACTCACACTCAGGTAGATGTTTAAATGTGTTAAATCTCAGGGACACAAGCACACCTCCATGCACACACACAGTTTATATGTAACATAGGATTCTGAACAGCAAACTAATGAAGCTGTAAGATGAAAAAAGGAGATAAAGTATGAGTTCAGGACAGGTTAGAATTTATAGAGTTGCCCTGGCAACAGACTTTTGCAGTGCAGCTCTGCACTATAGACATGCATAGATGTATCTTGTACTACCATTGATCTTTTTAACTTTCTAATGCTACTGACATATGCATTAGAAATGTGCTTTGAACCATCTCTGATGTTGTCCTAATCATGATAATATTCCTTTTATTTATGATCAGCGATCTTTATCTTCAGAGCTGTGGGTGACACTTTTAGTGTTTGCTTAAAATAAATAAATAAATAAAAACCTCACAGGGTGTTGGAAGATTTCTCTGTACAAGAGGTCCAAGAGGAGCACTGCTTTCAGCTTAATGAAGCTTTCATATGCTGCATCGGTTCATTCTAGTTTGTTCAAATAAGCTCTCAAGTGGATCAACTACTCTTGTGCTGTTCGGCAAAAATTTGCTGAACCACGACCTAGGAAGGAGCAAAGTGCAGCCATGTCCTTTGGTGCAGGAGCTTCAGAGATGGCAGTCAGGTGGACTGGGTGAGGACACAAGCCCTTCTTTGAAATGACGTCCCAGGAATGGAATATGCGTCTGCCCGAATGAACTTTTACTGGAATAGATCTGCGGACCAACATCCTTCAGAGGCCTGAGAAAAGCATGCAAACGTTCATTGTGTTCTTCTTTAATGCGTCCATTATTACGCTTTTATTAGGTTCCCCCAGATCCACGCAAAGTCTCAAGTCGCCCTTATGTTTTCTTGCCACGATTAGAGGACTCAGCCATTCAGATGTGTCCACTGGTACAATAATGCCTGCTTGGAGCAGATGTTTCAGTTCAGCTGACACCTCTTTGCATATGCTGAGTAGCAGATGCCTCAGTTTTACTTCATTGTTAACCTGAACTTTGTGAATGAACCCTTTAACACATCCAAGATGGTGGGCAGAAACAGAATCAATGTTGTTCACCATGCATGTCTGTTTATACTTTTCCATCTATAATATTAATTTTGAGTGCTTTATATGATCTTTAACTATGTAGGATAATCCTGGCACTTTTTTGTCATCATTTGTCAGCACTCTCTTCTTCATCTGCCTAAATAAATACTGATCCATATGCGATGGGTTATGGTACACATCCATTTTTAAAAGTCCCCCATTACTGATGGTGTGGCAGAGGTGTGGCCTGTGGCTCAGCTGCAGGGGAGGGGTGGGGCAGTGAGCTTAAGGCGGCGGTGCCAGGAAGGCTGGAGGGACAGGTGGTGATGATTGTCCTAACGAGGCTTTTCCTTTTTATAGTGAAGCCGGAGACCAGAGAAGCCAACTGGAAAGTTGGTGGACGGGGTGCCGAACTGTAAAAACCATGTGTGCAACTTCACTCCTGAAAGTGGTCCCAGTAACAGTCTGTTGGGTCCCAGTCTTTACAGATGGAAATCTCAGTCTAAGGCTAGCTGCCCCAAGATTTGATTTTCAGCCAGGTGTCACCCACACACCTATACCAATGGCCCAGTGGTGTTCCAGGGTAGAATGACAGACACTTCTTTTACACTTCCTCAAGATAAAAATGGGCTGCAGTGGGTGAAAGTGGGGGAACCCATGTTTCTTCCTGTAGTACTGACACTTGTATGCGAATCCATAATGACATCTTTCACCTTAAACAAAATCCAAGGAGTTCTGGATGTGGTGTGGCTGTGGTGTTTAGGGCTGACTAACAATTTGTTGAAGACCAAAGCCAGAAACTATGAGGCTGACTTGATCATACAGATAGTGGGTCTTAAAAGGTACACCATGTTTATGTGTCTTCTTTGAACCCTACAGACTTTGCGTAGCTTCTGCTGGGTATCACCTGCGGTATGAGGTCAATGAGCTTTCTGGGATTTCTTTATTTGGATGACTAAGCATGCATCAAGATCTTTTTAATAAAATTCAAAATAATAAAAACCTAATTTAAAAAAGATTGCTGATTTTTATAAAACACACTGCCCTTTTGTGTCTCTCTGCACTTTACATTACCATTGTGGTGATGTCATTCACACTCACCTATATGTACAATATAAATTTATTAAATCTCAGAGACACAAGCATGCCTCCATGCAAAAAATAGTTTCCACTGACATTCATTCAGGTTTGTACTTACATGTTCCATATGTTGCTGATGATAAAAAGCAATCCATTGCCACTATATAGGATGAAAAAGACGCGATATCATAGACCGGCAGATGTGTGTTGTACTTCCATTCAGCTTTTTACTTTCTAATGCTCTGTGGAGAACACAGTAGCCCATAGGCATCTACTGCTTCATTAAACTTGTTCACCAATAAGTTGCGCTTTGGTGTTCCTTGGACTAACTCTCATATTCTCCTCATAGCATCATAATAGTATTCCTTTCGTTGATGCTCAGCTATTTTTAGCTTCAGATGTTGGTGACAGTTTTAGTTTTGCTTTTTAACAAAATAAACTGGACGGGGTTTCTCATTGTTATTCTGATTCAGTAAAAAGGGCTAGCTGTTAGAATTAGGGATGCACCGATACCGATCTCGATACCACATTTTCTAAAGTACTCGTACTTGTTAAAAGACCCCCGATACCGAGGACCGATACCACGGTCTGAGACCTGGCTATGTTTGAGCGGCATGTAAGGGGTTAATCACAGGCCCCGAGTGCCCGACCCCAGGCCCCGAGTGCCCGACCCCAGGCCCCGAGTGCCCGACCCCAGGCCCCGGCTGCAGCTCAGAGCGGGGAGAAAGCGAGGCGAGACATATCAGCTGTGTGGAACTATTTCAAAGTGAACGAAGACGCGAAAACAAAGGCGGACTGCAAATTGTGCTCAGCGAAATTGTCCAGAGGAGGCTCTAAAGGTAGCGCATTTAACACAAGCAATTTAATCAAGCAGCTAAAATCCCAACACAACAACGAGTACAAAGAGTTTACCCACGCTTATTTACCCCACTTATTAGCACAGAGGAGCATAGCTGATGCTATAGCAGTGGGACGGAAAATAGCTGGGCATTTTAAACATTCCGCCTTAGCCTACTCCCGCCTCGAGGACATTCAGGGACAGCTCAACCAGCCAATAAAGAGACTGTAGCAGGACGTACAGACGCGCTGGAACAGCACGTATTACATGCTCCAGTCCCTCATTGAGCAAAAGCGAGTGCACGAACTCCCTGACTATCTCACCGCTCACCAATGGGCTCTTATGGAGATGACTGTTGCCATCCTCGCCCCCTTTGAGGAACTAACTAAAAAAGTGAGCAGCTACGACGCACTAGCCTCTGATGTCATCCCAGCTGTGACTGTGCTAGTGAGACTTCTAAACAGAGAAACAGACGAACAAATTTAAAATTAAATTTTGTTTTTTTATAATTATTTATTCTGTAATATGTTGCATACAACATGCTTTTCATTTTAAATAAATGTTCTTAATTCCAAACTAGTCCCTTGTTTGTTTTTTGTTAAATTATAGGACTAAAGCTGTTACCTGCAAATTTAAATCATGTTTTTATTAAGTACTCGGTATCGGCGAGTACTGAAATGCAAGTACTCGTACTCGTTTCCAAAAAAGTGGTATCGGTGCATCCCTAGTTAGAATCCCTGACAATGAAAAAAACCTCACGGGCTGTTGGAATATTTCTCTGGACAAGAGGTCCTTGGATCGCCTCTCCGTTGTCTTTGTTGACAGCAATGAAGGCAGTGAAAGAACTGCTCACTCCTGATTGGACACTGAGTTGCACCACCTTCTCCTTCACTCCTCCATCTTGCTGTCCTCTGTTCTCTCTCTCATCCATCTCCAGGGAGCGAATCAGAGTCCGAGCACCCAACCTGTGGACTGTTAGCCTGCAGACAAGAAGGAAAACACACAGAATGCTTGTCATTGTTAATACTGTGTTATTATAGTATATTAGTTTACCAGTCATTTTACTGTTTTTAACACCACTGTGTCCTCTTCGGGGTCACACAGTGAGGAACATGTAAAAAGCCAGCATCTGATGCAGTCAAAGCAGTCCCTCAGTTGCAGTTTAGTCCAGACTGGAACAACTCAGGTTATCTTTCTGTATGGACAAGTGGGGACCAAGTGAATCATACAGTGATCTGACAAAAAAAACAATTAGCTCCTCTGATAGTGCCATATGTTTACATTTGTTCTCATCTTGTTGGATACTGGAAGTTATTCACTCAGTCAAAGGGTGTTTACTAAAATCTCCCCCCAAAACAGTGGTTCCATTGGAGCATATGCTAGAACATCTATAACCATAAAGATATCTTGAAAAAGTTCTGAGTAAATATTTCAAGCCTTTTTTGCTTTAGCTTTGATGATGTTAGCTCATGACAATCAGAAAACCAGTAGTTTGTGACACCCTGAACTCTCGCCTTCAGCCATGCACCAACTACATGAGGAGAGAGAGCTGTGCTGCTCTTCACAAGTGGCACAGCACCTGAAACCATTCTGCTCCACCTCTCCATCCTACCAACCACACACCCCTGCTGCATTTAGTTTCAATTCATGGTCATGACCCACAGAGCACTGTGCTCTACATTAAACATGTTGTACCCAGCGTCCACTGCAGGTCTGAGACTGAAGTGCAGCTGGTTCTCAGAGGGATGACCTGCCAGGCTGTACTTCAGCGTCACACAGCCCTCTGCTGCCTCTGCGCTCTGACACAGAATTACAGTGTTAGAAGTCACGATAATTACTGTCATCAAAACAACATGAGAGGCTGCTGCTCCTACCTGTCCAGTGAGCTGGGCATAAATCAGTGACCTCTGACCCTGGAAAAGTGTTGTGATCGGTGGAGAGAGGACAGTGACAGACACTTCCTTTGGTAAATCCCATGTGACTGAGATGTCGACCACAGCTGGCTGCAGAGCAAATCGCAGCGACTGCATCACCTGACAACAACAAGAATTAGAAAACAATTATGCATTTATGTTTATTTGAAATTATGTCTTCTGTCCAAATAATAACATCTAGAGATGGCACGATACCACTTTTTAATGTCCGATACCGATTCCAATATCATAAATTAGGATATCTGCCGATACTGATATGAATCCGATATAGCGTATTTTGTAATCAATAAAAAAATTTTTTTATAAATATCTTGCTGCATTTTGTATAAGTTCATACTCAAGTTTTAAAAAACAAGAGACTGAAGCTATTCTGTTATACCTGTATGCAAAAATACACTCCACCGAAACATTTTATAGTTCAGCAATACTGATCAATCTAATAAACTTAAACCTACTCCATCCTTCCTATTCTGGTATTTTAAAGAGTACTTACCTACCTAACTAATAGGGTTGCCAACTCCCAGCAAAAAATATTAGGGAACCACCCCCTGCCCTTAATCGATGTAATCAACTTTAATTTAATGCAAGTGTAAAACAAATGCACAGAAATCAATTATTTTTCTACAATAATTAAATAGATTCAACATCTTTCTTCAACAGAATTGCAGACTGCACAGATGGTACCTTCCCAAAGAAAAAAGCAGTATAGCTTACTGGGGTGTATATTAGACTTAATAGTTACTATATACAATGATGGATTTCTATACATTTATTCAGATGACCACTTTTGTTGTAAGATTCAGATAATTATTCATTCAAAGTTTTTAAATGACATAACAAATAAAAATATTTCTTTGTGCCCCCCTTCCCTTCCCTTCAACTCATTCATGTCACCTAAAAGGTAAACCTGTTTCTCCATCACCTGTTCAGCTCTGATGATTCAGTAAGGACATCTCCTGGTTTCATCTTCATGTTTCCCTCTCACCAGATATCCAAACCGATATCATGACCAGCAGCTTTTACAGCTGTGGCTCCAGCAAACGTCAGCTGATACTAGAAAGTAATATTAAATACATTCTAACAACAGCTGATCAAGCTTAAACGAGCTGCTGTTGTTTATCCGCTGGTCTCCTCTTTCTAACGCAAAGTGGGCAATAAACTAACAAGAAAGACGGGACTTGCGGTAGAAAAGCCGATCAGCTGATCATTGATCAGTTTCATGTTTGAAGTAATAACAGGAGAGGGAGGGGGAGTGAATGAGAGAAGTAGATACAACTTCTCCAGCTTTGTGTCTATTTTTTTAATTCTAGCTGAAGTACGGGACAAATCGCTTCCTTTTCACCTCAATATGGAACCAATCCAGCTGTGGCTCAATATATCAGTTGTTAAGTTTAACGTGAAAATACTATGCAAACATTCAGGGATGAACTTACACACTTGCTTTACTTCTCTGGGATAGTTTTCGCCGAGATGAAATGCCGCGGTTAGGAAGCATGTAGCGAGGCTCCAACAGACCGCCGACAGGTCTCGCAGAAAAATAGCCGCTCTATCACGTGACACATACTGCTCCAATGCGCCGAGCTGGGTTACACCAAGTAGCGCGTTTTATGAGGTGATTTTCTGATACTTCGGATCGGATTACATTTTTTATTTCTCTCCGATATCCGATCCTGTAATTTAGGTCGGTATCGGACCGATACCGATACGTAATATCGGATTGGTCCATCTCTAATAACAACATATTGTCTTTTAATAATTGTTATTATGACTTATTGTCTTACTTTTGGTTGCATCCTGTCAGTCCCTGTGATAAACTGAGCGTGACCTCCTCCTTCCTTGGCCATCCCATTAATGAGAGCAGAGCTGGCTCCTTCCCCAATCCCAAAAGAGAAACACCTGCAACACAACAGCTGTTTTTAAGACACACAGGTTTGGTACGCAGCACATGTCATCATCATTTTTGCTGTTTCACCTGTGGGAGCCTGAGTTCTTCTTCACCAGATCGATCACTTCTTTGGTGTTCCCCACCTCTCCATCAGTAAAGACAAACAGCTAGAGAGGAGAGTTTACATGAAAGGCCAAATTACACAAGCTAAAAGTAACACATATACACATAGGACTTTTTTACCGATCGGGAACTGGATCTAATGCTTTTAACGGGAACTTGGCAGAGAGTTGGTGAGTCCAGTTGTTTTACTGAACTTTTACCGCATGATTGTGAGTATCTTAATGTGCCGAGGATGACTGGGCATGGTGGTGGAGTGGCAGCTGTTTTTAGGAAGAAGCTCTCTTGCAAACAACTCTTAACTGACTCATATTCTAGTTTTGAACTTCTGGCGTTTGAATTGAATTGTATACAGACCTCCAAAATACCACAAGGATTTTATCCAAGACTTTTCAAACTTCTTAGCTGGAACTGTGCCAAGCTACGATCGAATCTTAATCGTTGGAGATTTTAATATTCATGTGTGTTGTCCCTCCAATTCGCTGGCCAGAGACTTTTTAAGCTTGACAGACTCCTTCAGTCTTGCTCAACTTGTGTCTGGGCCAACCCAGAAACAGGGTCATACATTGGCTCTCTTGCTTTTCTGATCACTGCCCTATTGTGTTTGACATACTTTTATCTCTCCGCCATTTTACACCTCTTATTTCAACACGTCGTTGTCGTGTTTTTAACCCATCTGCAACAGAACAATTTTCTATTGCTTTTAAAAAAGTTTTAAGATCTCCCCTTGGCTTTGGTACCGAGGAAATGACAGTTAATTTTTATGATAAATGCAAAACTGTCCTTGATGAGGTCGCTCCTTTTAAAACTATAAACTCGAAACCACGACCAGACCCATGGATAAATAAGGCCACTCGTTCAGCCAGACGAGAGTGCAGGAAGGCTGAACGTAAGTGGAAAAAAGATGGGCTGCAGGTGTCCTTTCTCATGTTGAGAGACAGTCTGTACAGGTATCAGGACATTGTTAAAGCAGAAAAGTCAAGGTTTCTTTCTAATGTTATTGAGAATAGCTCCAATAATTCTCGGGTTCTTTTTTCAATTATTGACTCTGCCCTGAATATTTCCCCAGCTTCTTGTATTAATAGTTCCTCAGACACCTGTGAAAGGTTCTTGCAGTTTTTTATCAATAAGATAAAACAGCTTCGATCTATGATCGCCCTGCCTTCACATGACGTGTCTAAAATATTCACCTGCTCTGCTGTTTTTGATCAGTTTGAGCCTGTGTGTCTTGATCAGGTGGAGGAAGTATGTAGTGGCACAAAGACATCATCGTGTCCAAATGACATTATTCCAACACATCTTCTAAAAAAGATTTTTAAAGTTGTCAGTTCTGACATTTTAGCTATTTTTAATAGCAGCCTTAGCTCAGGTGTTGTGCCAGCCTGTTTTAAACATGCTGTTGTACAGCCTGTACTTAAAAAACCTAATCTTGACTCCTCCGTCCTCACTAACTTCAGGCCTATTTCAAAGCTCCCCTTCCTGTCGAAAATTTTGGAAAAGATTGTGTTTGTTCAGCTCCAATCTTTTCTAAATGGACACAATGTTCTTGAGAGGTTTCAGTCTGGTTTTAAAACTCTTCATAGCACAGAAACTGCACTTTTAAAAGTGATCTTTTATTAGCCACTGACTCAGGTGACTCAGCTGTGCTTCTGCTTTTAGATCTGACCGCTGCCTTCGATACTGTTGACCACAGCATTTTAATCTCACGGTTGGAGCATTGTGGCGTAAAGGGCACCCCATTAGAGTGGTTCAGGTCATACCTGTCTGACAGGACCTTCTCTGTGAGCTTTGGTGATTTTATCTCTTCCTCAACTCCCCTTACTTGTGGTGTTCCCCAGGGATCTATACTGGGGCCAATATTGTTCTCCATTTATATGCTGCCTTTAGGTCTAATTTTTAGAAAATACAACATTTGTTTTCATTCATATGCCGATGATACTCAGATCTATCTTCAATTGAAGGGAAACAGTCCTGCCTCACTAGAACCCTTACTTCAGTGTCTCGGTGAAGTTAAATCCTGGATGGCCTCAAATTTCCTTAACTTCAATGAGAACAAAACCGAAGTGATAATTTTTGGACCAAGCGGCAATCCCAACACTTCTAATTTTAACCTGCACAGTCTTGAGCCTTTTGCCAAATCACATGCCAAAAATTTGGGGGTTATATTTGACAGCAATTTCACCTTTGAAAAACAAATTAGCTCAGTCGTACAGCGGTCTTTCTTCAAACTGAGGCTTTTATCTAAGGTGAGATCATTTTTATCTTTTAAAAACTTTGAACGAGCGATTCATGCTTTTATTATATCCCAGCTGGACTATTGTAACTCCTTATATGCTGGAGTCAGCCAGACCTGCCTGGCAAGGCTGCAGTTGTTCCAGAATGCTGCAGCTCGTCTTCTGACACGCACTAAAAGATGTGAACACATTTCCCCCGGTACTTGCCTCCCTTCACTGGCTCCCTGTCCGCTTCAGAATTAATTTTAAAATATTATTGCTGACTTACAAAGCCCTGAATGGACAGGCTCCCGGGTATTTGTCTGACCTCTTGCAGACTTATACCCCCCCTTAGATCTCTTAGATCAAGTGATCTTTTGCTTTTAGCTGTACCAAGGTCGAGGCTGGTTCATAGAGGTGATCGAGCATTTGCAGTCGTAGCGCCTAAGGTGTGGAATAATTTACCCCTACACATCAGACAGGCTCATACTGTCAATCTTTTTAAATTTTATCTTAAAACGCATTTTTATTTACTGGCTTTTAATACAGCATGAGAGTTGTTTGTTAATTCATATTTAGTGTTTGCTTTTAATACTCTAAGTTGTTTTATTATGTATGTTGTATTCTTGTACAGCACTTTGGTCAACGCTCCTGTTGTAATTAAATGTGCTATATAAATAATTAAACTATTAAACCAGTCAGACATGACATTATGACCACGTGCCTAATGTTGTGCTGGTCCCTCTTTTGCTACCAAAATAGCCCTGAAGGCATTGGGTGCACTAGATCCATGAAGGTGACGTGATATCTTTAAGATCCTTTAAGTCCTGTAAGTTGGAAGGTTGCGCCTCTGTGGATCGGACTTGTTTGTCCCACAAATGCTCAATTGGATTGAGATCTGTAAAATTTGGAGACCATATTTCACCCATATTTGCTTTGTGGCAGACCAGGAACACCCAACAATGGCTGCAGATATCATGGTGAATACATAATCAGTGTTATTTAATTTACCTATCAGTTAATTAATATAAACTCATACACTCTGTGTGTGTGTGTGTGTGTGTGTGTGTGTGTGTGTTACCTGTCTGGGCTGATTTTGAATGCAGGGTTGGCTGTAAATATGTTTGAGGGGCTCCAGGATCTCTGTTCCTCCAAGATCAGCCTCCATCTCCTTAACTTTCTTCAGAGCCTCCTCCATGGTCTTCTGGCTGTACTCCACACTCTTACTGCCATGAGATACACATAAGTGTCACAGTACTGGCTCTCTGACTTAGTGTTTGTGTTTCAGTTCTTGGTTTAATATTCTTTGATTGTTATTCCTGGTTTCGGTTATCTTTCGTTTGTGCTTAGTGATCTTAGTTCTTCCTCCCTTTGTACGTTTCTCGGTCTGTGTTTAGTCTCTGCCCCCGTGTTTTCTCTGTGCCTGTCCTAGTCCCAGGTCGCATGTCTAATCACCTTGTCTCCATGCTCCATGTCAGTGTATCCTGCTTTGCTTCCTGTGCCTTGTTATGTCGGATTAGCCCCAGCTGTGCTTCCCTCCCGTTTTCCCGTTCCCTCGTTACTCCCCGGTGTATATAAGCCCTGTATTTTTCTCTGTTAGTTGTCGTTTCCTCCGCATTACCTGCGTGTCATGTTTGTTATGTCGTGCACTCCCAGTTTAGGTCATTCTTCCTAGTTTGAGTTTTTGTTTTATTTCTAGTGCTCATATATTGTGTTTCTCTGTTTGTTTTTTCCAGCGAATAAAAGCTGCTGCCTTCAAGTTAAATACTCAATCTTAGAGTCCTGCGTTTGGGTCCAACCACTACCTGCCACACAGCAAACCTTGACAATAAGTGATTGATGGCTGTTTAGCACTGCCAAATTCTACATTGTAATTTAATGAGTTTCACTCATACACTTTCAAAACTGCCTTTGAGAACCATAACATAACAGCAGCTTACTTAAATGAGCTGTAAGTATTCTAGAAACGCATTATCTGGTGTAACTAGAGCAGATATCTTATTACACACAAGTGACATCATTGAAGCACAGTTTTATGGACTGAATCACTCACGAAAAGATGTGTTCATATCTGGACCCAAAACTGTAAATGTTGAAATAGCAGCCCATTGGTAAGCTCTTCAACAGGAGCAGCAGAGTGTCCTTCAGGGAAGAGGGAGAAGATGGTGAGGCCACTGTGTGAGAGGAAAGGTTTTATAACTCTAACACCACATCATAAATACCCTGGCACTGCTGATCCGAGATTCCCGCTGCTCAGTGTTATTGGTAGCATAGTCCATACTTCCAGATCGATCCACTAAGAACACAAACTCTCCACATGAAGCCATTGAAGACATCACAGACTGGGTGAACTCAGGGTACAGACTCACCATCACCACTGGATCACCCATCAGAGAACCTGAAACACATGAAAGGACAGAAAAATGTCAAGTTTACAATTTTTTATATACTCCAACTGTTGCAGTGTCAGCTTGGTAGTCTGTGTCTGTAAGTTCAGTCAGGGTTTCCTGTTTTACTTTGAAGGTCCGTGTCTTATGTTAATGTGTCTGGTTTTGTCCCAGCTGTGTCTCTCCCTCCTGTCTTCCATTCCCTGATTGCCCCCTCTGTGTATGCAAGCCCTGTGTCTTCTCAATTATCCCATGCTGTGTGTTCCGTCCGTCCGTCTGCCTGCCAGTTTAGTTTCTGTATTCCCAGTTTAGCCAATTTTCTGTTTTTGTCATTTAGTAATAAATCTTTGTTTTTAAAGTCTGAACTTTTGGGTCCATCATTCCTCCTATCCTGCCTGCACACAGCCTTCACATGACACCAACATGTTTGTAGTTGTGGTTTATATTCACTTATCATGTGAATGATTGTCATTTGGCTTTTGACTTCCCGGGGGGGGGGGGGGGGGGGGGTTTGAGGGTGAAATGAGAATGCAGTCATCTTTGGTGACATTATTTTTGACTTTCTAATTCACACATGGTCAAAATTATGCAAACAGGCTCAGATATGACCAGTTTAAGCATGATGTTACCACCACAGTGCTTGACAGCTGGTACATTGTTCTTATATTTGAAAGCCTCTCCTTCACTCTTGCAAATTTAAGTCAAATGTAAGGGGCTTTATTTTTGTTCCAGAAATGTAAAGTTTATGTTAGGGCTGGGCGATATGGCCTGAAATTCATATCGCGATATAATTTGAAGCAGTAATTTGTGCGGTAACAATATATATCACGATATATTATTTTCTTCTGTATTACGTATTTTCTACAGTATAAAGCACACTTAAAATCCTTTAATTTTCTCAAAAATCGAGAGTGTGCCTTATGTATGAATTCTGGTTGTGCTTACTGACCTCGACCGATTTTGGCGTGCAGAAATCTGTTAAAAAAAAGTTTTAATACAACTTTGGTAAACAGCACTGCTTGATGGATTGTCAGAGCATTATGCATTAGTGAGGAGCTTCGCGGAGTAATCTGGGTCCAAAACTCCGTCCCTTCAGGTCCCAAAGTCAAACGAATACTAAGAGTTAAAAACGGTCTAAATTCTTTCATCTTTAATTAAATCAACAGCATTGCTGTTTTATCGGGTGTAACAATTAAGTTTAACATCCAAGCATCCATGAAAACAGAAGTTATTAAATTTAACGGAGTTAAAAGTTAGCAGGAAGTTAGCTTGCTAGTTTCCACCTAAACATGACACACCATGTTCTGACTGAGAGATTTTTGAAACTAATTAAAACGTACAGCTCTGCTACCACTTCCAACATAAATGAAGACAGAAAACTAAACATCAGTGGTGTTTGTAGGGTTACTGAAGTTGGACTACCTTGTATATAATATTGTGCTACGTGATTGCTAGAGACACAGCTATATTAGCATAACATTAGCACAGTGAAGCTGGAGGATGGCCAACTTTTTATCCACTGATAAAAGTTAACGTGAGGGATTCTGGTGGTTAGGGACAAATGCAATCTCATAGCAGGATGCTATACACGGGTCAAACGTCAGTCAGGAGAACAACTGAGATTATTCATCCACAATACGAGGTTAGTTATTAATATACTGCAACAACATGGGAACAGAACAGCTGCGAGAGAATTCAACATTAATGAATCAATGTTACGGAAGTGGAGGAAGCGCAGTTTTTGGCTTTCCCCATATTTAAAAAGTGCTTCATCTCTTTGCTATGACTGTCGCCCGGCATAATTTGCAGATGATAATGGTTGTAGCCGCTGCGATAGTTTCGACCAAAACAGGCGCAGCTTGATGACATCATCAACATGCGCCATCTTGATAGAGCGATATAGTCAAAATCTCTATCATTGGCCAAATTTATATCGTTTCTATCATATATCGTTTATATCGCCCACCCCTAGTTTATGTTACAATTGAGAATTAGTGATACTTGTTCCTGAAGATCTCAACCAATTTCTTAAAATTAAGAGTTTGGGTCTTTCTTCGAACTTATTAAAGTGGTGACACATCCAAAAAAAAACTTTACATGCAGTTGTTTGAACCTAGAATTTGCAGGTGTTTCATTTATGCAAATCTAAAATTCTCCTCCTTAGATTTTCACTGACTTTTCTTTGATTTTTTCCCATTGTTATGATTATTGGTCAGGCCAATGAGTGGTGACGTAACAAATAACTTGATGAGAAAGAGTAACTACAGACGTGAACAAAATTGTTGGTACCCTTTGGTCAATGAAAGAAAAAACTCACAATGGTCACAGAAATAACTTTTATCTGACAAAAGTAATAATAAATAAAAATTCTATAAATCCTAACCAATGAAAGTCAGACATTGCTTTTCAACCATGCTTCAGCTGAATTAATTACAAAAATGATGGTGCCCACAACTTAAGATTTTGTTGAACAACCTTTTGAGGCAATCACTGCAATCAAACGATTCCTGGAACTGTCAGTGAGACTTCTGCACCTCTCAGCAGGTATTTTGGCCCACTCCTCATCAGCAAACGGCTCCAGTTGTTTCTGGTTTGAAGGGCGCCTTTTCCAGACAGCATGTTTCAGCTCCTTCCAAAGATGCTCAATAGGATTGAGGTCAGGGCTCATGGAAGGCCACTTTAAAATAGTCCAATGTTTTCCTCTTAGCCATTCTTGGGTGTTTTTAGCTGTGTCTTTTGGGTCATTGTCCTGTTGTAAGACCCATGACCTGCGACTGAGACCAAGCTTTCTGACACTGGCCAGCACATTTCTCCCTAGAATCCATTGATAGTCTTGAGATATCATTGTACCCTGCACAGATTCAAGACACCCTGTGCCAGAGGCAGCAAAGCAGCCCCAGAACATAACCGAGCCTCCCCCATCTTTCACAGTTAGGACAGTGTTCTCTTCTTGATACGCTTCATTTTTCCGTCGGTGAACATAGAGCTGATGTGCCTTGGCAAAAAGTTCAATTTTTGTCTCATCTATCCACAGGACATTCTCCCAGAAACTTTGTGGCTTTGTCAAGTTTAAAGAAATCGCAGAACTTTAAGCACCACTCAGTAAAATATTTTAGTGATTGTATGTACTTAAGCTGTATGTACAGTGGTATGAAAGAGTGTTTGTCCCCTTCCTGAATTCACAGTTGTCTCATATCTCAAATAAGGTCAGAGTTCATGATTTAACAATTAAAAAAAAAAAAAAAAAAAAAAAAACTGGTTAAAATGGCATTCACAGGAAAGTTCAAGGAGAAAACCACTGCTGACAAAAAACAACACAAAGCCTCACTGTGGTAAATGGAACCATGAATTCTACTAAAACATCCTGAAGGAGAACGTCTGGACATCTGTTCGTGACCTCAAACTGGACAATGATCCAAAACACAACAGCAAGTCCACCTGTGAATGGCTTAAGGAAAAAAAATGAAGACTTTGGAGTGGCTTAGTTAAAGTCCTGACCTAAATCTGATTGAGATGCCGTGACATGACCTTAAAAAGTCAGTCAATCACTTTATCACACAGGGCGATGTAGGTTTGGGTTTTTTCCCTTTCATATAAAATACGTTTATTTAGAAACTATATTTTTTGTTTACTTCTGTTGTCTTTGTCTAATATTTCAATTAGTTTGATGACCTGAAAGTGTGACAATCTAAAAAATATAAAAAGGGAAATCAGGAAGAGGGCAAACACTTTTTTAGACCACTGTAAACTTTGAACCATGTATGAATTAGAGAAAATCCAAAATACATTCAAACTTATGCAAGCTTAACAATTCTTTTTTTTCCAAATTCATTAAAGATCTATGCTGGACAATAAATCCACTCATACCCACAACAAGTGTAAATTTCTGATCACAACGATAACTCTTGAGCTGAAGAATAAAATAATGATATTTTTTACTAAAAAGCTAATAACAACACTAATGTTACTCACCCAGCTCAGCAGAGGCCTGTCCTGCCTCCACCACAGCAGTGGGCTGGTGGGCGTCTTTGTAATAAATCAGCAGTTCAACATCTCTGTCAAACTTGTGTCCTGCAGCCAGCTTGACCTGCACACCACAAACACATTCATATTTATTCATCGGTAACAAGTAACAACCACACGCAGCAGACACATCAGCACTCTACCTACCGTGGCCTGGGTTTGATCAGTGTTGAGGTACTGCAGAGGGTCCAGGGAGCAGTTGGACTCTACTTTAGAGATTGGACGAGGAGAGGACACTCGGGCAGAAAAAGACAGACTGTAGGGCACCAGAGAGACTGGAACAGAAGTCACCTGGACACCTGCACCTTCACTACCTGCACACAGCATCAGGTAAAATATGCTGTAATTAATGAGGCTGCTTACACTGAAATCCTTTACGTTACTAAGAACCTCAAAACAGTTACCTGTGCTTTATACTCTAAATGCTTCAATAATACAGAGAAACCCCAACATGACCCAATATGAGCAATAATTTGGCAACAGTGAGAATGAAAAACGGACTTTCAACAGAAAACCTCCAACAGAACCAGTTTCAACCATCTGCCATGACTCGTTGGTGTTGTGGTTTTTCATTTTCAAAAGTGTCATTGAAGCATTTCTGGTCCAAGTATTCTGAAGTTGTCCTACCCTGAGGTTGGTATCGAGGGTTGAGCACAGCAGGCAGACAGAACCTCAGACCATCATCAGCCTGCACAGCCAGCTCAGTGACGTACTCCAACCTGATGGAGGCGCTCTCTGCTGGAGGCAGACTGCCCACACTCAGAGAGAATATATCTGGACTCCCATCACTCTCCTCCAATAGGAAGGCCTGCTGACCGGAGCTCAGAGCATCATCATACTCCTCACGAGCCTGAAGCACAGGTGATGCATGTCAGTGACATTCACTGTGTTTATTTTGAAGCTCACTTATAATCAGGTTATATTTACTGTCCAGCTCACCTTCTGTTTCTCCTTCACCTCAGCTACAATCTGTGTCTGTCCAATCTGAGCACTGAAATGACAGACAGCAGCATCTCCAGGCAGAGGGAAGACAAAAACAGCCTCTAATGGTTTGTCCTCCTTGTTCTCGTAGTTCAGAGTGGAGACCACTGTAGCCACATGGTCCCTCACCTCCAGCTCCACCTCAACGCTCTTCAGAGGAACTGACAGACAAACAGAATTGTGATACAAACACAGCCCATATATTCTAGTGAAAAATGTTACATTTTAGCCACATGAAACTGTTATAAGAAATAAGCATACATGAAGATTTTAATAATGAAGTGAGGTTCTGGTGAATACAGTCTCTTTATTTTCTATCAGTACCTGGTTCTTTCTCGAATGTTAGCAGACCACAACAGTTCATCATCGCACCTGTGAAACAAAAACATTTAAGGAAATGGTGATGAAAACACTTTTATAGCTGCTGTACAATCTTGCCTGTGAAACTCATCAGATAATGTAATCACATCAATGAATGTGGTTATCTTTACTATTCATATAATAATATTATTACTATTATTACTACTATCCTCACAGGAAGAATGTCCTAGGTTTGAATCCACCATCTGGCCAGGGCCCTTGTGATTGAGTTTGCATTCTCTCCTGTCTGCGTGGGTTCTCAACAGCTTCGTCCCACAAGAAGACAACCAGTTAGTGGGGTTAGGTTAGTCAGTGTCAGTGATTATCTGCAGCCCTGCGACAAACCTGCGAGGTGTCATAATCTGAATTGGATACGCGAGAGAGAAGAGATGGACGGATCGATGGATTAGTCTCATTAGTAGTAATTCTGATTCAGTAAAAGGACTAGATGTTGTAGTTAGGGTTGCCAACTCCCTGAAAAATAAATAAGGGACACCTCGTGGCCAGGGCCGGGCGACCCAGTTGTCTTCACCCTTCCCAGTGTGGTGAATTTTCTAGCTCTTTTTTTGTGTGTGAAATTATTTTTTTTAACCCTTTGACTTGAATTTGATTTAAGTAGATGTGTATTCTTTGTGATATGAACACATGTGAAACAAATGATCATTTAGCCATTTATTTTTAGCTCAAAATGACAACATTAACACAATAAAACAGGTCTCTTAACTTTTGAGAATATAAGTAAATCTTTCTTTAAAAGAACTCTGTCCTGCTTAACTTAAAATAATAGAAAACAATAGAAAGAAAAATATTATTGTAACTGTGCACATTTAGTGCATTTAGTACAATTGGCTTCAGTTGAGGTATTATTTCAGCTTTTCTAATGCTAATCAGCTGCTCCCGTTTGTAAACCCGCTTGTTCCCATGATTACGCATCATAACTCATCATCATTATTCATCTATGTATTACTTTTATGTATTAGTCATCTATTTGTTGTAATCATCTATCCTTGCAGTCGTTTATTACACAAAATAAATTATATTATCACACTTCTGGCCACATAGCGCTGATATTCACTGCACATGCCCATATTAACTTTTTCCAGCCAGGTGTTTTCCTTTTCCCATTCTTCCCTTTCTCTGAGGGGAACAAACATTGCTACTCTAACGCTGGGCTCACACTGTGCGGTTTTAGGCCCATTTTGAGACGATTTTTGAGTGATCGGACCGATTTTGGCCTTCATCGTGCGTCGTGTAGTATACGTGGGGTAACGAGAAGTGATTAACACCTCACGACCAGCTCCCGATCATCAATCGCTCGTGAGCCGCTCACACTGCTCGCGCGCAAACACGTAAACGCCGTGAAAAAGACGGCGCAGCACGGCTGTGCAGCGTGTGATCTGGACACAAGCGATGGAGGCACAACTTGTAGAACTTTGGAAAGCTCATCCGAGCATTTTCCATGTGGCCTCACAAAATTATCACGACCACAACAACCGTGAAAATAGTTGGATCTACATCGCTGCTAAATCACAGCTGCCTGATCATGTTTTTCATTAGCAATTTAGCAAAGTTGATGGTGGTGGTGTGTCTGTGTGAGTGAAAGACAGAGAGAGCGAGCGACATATTTTCTGTTATAACCTTAATTTTATGGAGGCACAGTGTGAGCACTCAGGTCGCATCAGAGCATCGGGCGGTATAGTGTGAGACCTGCATCGTGACCTACCAACTTCTAACCCCTGCGAGTCAATCGTGCAGTTTGAGCAGGAGCTGAATAACGTGACTGAAAAAAATCGCACAGTGTTTGCCCAGCTTTAGGTGTACTGTCGTCCGAGACTTGCACCGCAGTGACGGCGTTTGTTCCCCTGTTGGCCATGCTTCTTGTTGTGGTCATCTGTTGTCTTCCGGTATTTTCTCCGTAAGCGACCTTTCCTCGACCAATGGGATGAGCGGTAATCTGAATTGTCATACTCGAATTGTCATAAGTGTGCTGTCAGCTCATTGGTCAAAAAGCAGGAGAGGGGCTGGGAATTATGTTTTCAAACAAAGTGTTAATTCCATTAACATTTATAGACTACTTTTGATTCTCACTGTGTTACGGGACAAAGTGCGTCCCTTATTAGCTCAATACGGGACGTGTACTTTTGTTTCTAAATACGGGACGATTCCGTATTTTAAGGGACGGTTGGCAACCCTAGTTGTAGTCCCTGATAATGCTAGACTGCTAGATAGGTACTAGATTGGACATAGTGCTGGTGATGGTGGTGATAGTGATGATCACTATTATTCTTATGGATACGGCTGACAGTGCGACCAGTGTCACGCCCCTCCAACCATGACTTTCACTTTCCTGTGGTCGGAGTTTAAAAACAGCACAAATGTCTCATCACCACATGGATCTATTTCATTTTATAACAGAAACACAGCTCGTACAACTTCACGTGACAGCATCCAGATTGTTGTCATACATGTTAAAGTTGTCATGTCAGTGAGCTGTTGAGCTGCTTAAACAAACGCACACTGGGAACTTACCTCTAAGAACAGACTGTAAGAGCTGTGTCGCTTCACTGGAGTCCTGTCTTGTAAATACGTGGAGAATATTCTGCAAACATGAAGCGCTTCGGCCCACACAGCGACTTTCCCGAAACAGGAAGACTTGCGGGTGTGCTCGATTCGTTAATAAGACAGCACCGAGTGGGTGGAGCTTTACGCTGCCTCTGATGTCTCTCTTTTTTTATATATGTATCTGAAACGCTGGAAACTCTCGCACTTGTAAAATTATACTGTATTTGTATTTTGCTGTTCTCAAACAAACAAAAAAACGCTGCATCTACCAGAATGGAACAAGCAATACAGTTTTCATTCAAGTCACATCCAGTCTAATCACAGTCATTTCCTTTTGGTGATGAGTGTATGATGATGGGTAGATGTATTATCTATTATGTTAAAGCTGAAGCTTTGGACTGTATCGCTTTCATCTGACACCAAATCTATCCCCATCAATACATATTTTTTCCTTCATAGTGCACCCGTCTTGGATCTGATAGAACAGGCAATATCAAGATATGAGGCTGTGTTTTTTTCTTTCTATTTTATGCTATGGTTTAATTTTGTTGATGGCATAGATTCCTGTGGGTTAACTTTTCAGTTATATCTGTCCATATGAGGTATGAGTGCTTCAGATTATCGACTCGTGCAGAAAAATGATCAAATTGAGCTATTCTTGTAAAGTGGATGGTTTATAGTGTGTTCAAGAGCGAGTCAACACAGCACTATTCCCTAAATGTTTTCTCTTAAAGACAAAAATGCAGTGAACCAAGTCTTGCTGTTTGAAAGCGTTAGAAAGCAGCTGAGACAGTAAACATAGTTCCATTTTTAGATTGTGTTTTACATATTCTTTAGAAAATGAAGGATCGTGTGCTGTTGTGGGACCTTTAAGGAACGATCAGCAAACATTAGCAGAATACAAGCATTTTATTGACAAAACTGCCTAGAAGCTGGAATGAACCTGTTATATTAAGTGTTTGGTTCCTTTCACTGTCTCATGAGCCTCCTGAACTGAAGAAAGTGGAATGACTCCTGAAATTGGCTTTGGTTTGCGAAACAAGTCAAAAGTCACAAAGTATGAACATCATCACCATCTAGTGGCAGAGAAAAAGAATGGGCACGCACACACACAGTAGCTGTCCAATCTTTACTGTGTATTATGAGTATTCTACGGTGGCCCTGAGAGGCCAAACGGACTGCAACTTCAGAAAACACTTGCAAAAAGAAAAACGCTGCAAAAAGAAAAACGCTGCAAAAGCACAGAGGTTTATTCGGAGGTTTATTCCCCATTTCTCAACCTTGGCAGCCCCTCTTACAGATCTCACGAGAAAACACTTCTAAAGTGATGTGGAATGATGACTGTGAACATGCCTTCCAATCTTTAAAAAGGCAGATTTCTGAAGCCCCTGTTTTGCAAAGCCCTGATTTTTCCAAACCATTTGTTGGTAAATGCCTCTAATGTTGGACTTGGAGCAGTACTGGCTCAGGGAGAAGCTGGTGAAGCTTTTCTTAAGTAAAAAGCTGTTTGACAGGGAGACAAAATATTCAACAGTAGAAAAAGGACTGGCAATCAAGTGGGCAATTGATTCGTTGAAATATTATTTCCTTGGAAGAGAATTTATTCTTCAGACAGATCACAGACCCCTGGTGTGGATGCACTCCAAGCAACATCAAAATGCGAGCATACTGCGCTGGTGCCTAGCCCTCCAGCCATACCAGTTCTGATGTTTCCCTCACGACACCTCTCTGCGTAACATTCTACAAAAGCAGCTGTACATGCCCACTCCATTTTTGATGTACCCTCCTATGATGATGAGCCTGTTCCAATACAGACTACAAAACAGAGCGAGGCATCTAAGCTTGAAAGGAGAGTGGATGAGGTTGCAAAGCAAGTAGAAACTGAGCCAAAGGTCCAAGAATCCTCCTCCTGTCAGTGAGCTTAGTGCAGCGTTAAAACAGAGACAAGAAGAAAATGTTAAACTTCAAAATAAGAAAAATGAGTTGCCTAAGCTACTGAGAGCTCGCTCAGAACTAAAAATGTTAAAGAAAATAACAGTGATGGCAAAGATTACTTAATGGCAAGAAATGGCAGTGCCAGGAGACCTGTTAAGGTTCCCTCTATGCCAAAAGTGTGATTCTCCTTTAGATGTGGTGAAGAAGCCTATTACTGCTCGATGTCCAAATGAACCTAACCAGAAAAATGTTGAGTTATTATATTATATATAATTAAAATGTTAATTCATTTAAAACCAACTCATTAATTTTTAGGAAAAATTAATTATTATTTTTTTCCATGTTTACTGTGATGCACTGCATGATGAATTTATTTCATCCGTCAACCTCACCCATCAGAGTTAGGGGGCGGGACTAACAATGAAACGGTTAAAACGCTGCTTTAGTCCAGAGTCGATTCCTTTAGATGGCATCTCTCAGTACCAAGTAAAGAGATCGTACATGCATACTTGCTAGTTCTTATTTGGCACGTTCGCTCACGAGTCCAGACTTCTGTAGATGAGAGGACACAGCAGACAGGGAGACGGCAGCATCATCTGCCCTTCACTGTGTACTTAAACAACTACCACAGACCTTGCACGGCACAAGAAAGACTGAGTGGACCGACAGTAACAAGTATTAATAACAAAGTTGGCCATCAGATTTCTTGCAGTGATGTAATAAATGATTTTTCCTCTAAAAAAGCTGGAAAACCAAAATGTTAAGAGGAGGATGGAGTATTGAGGAAAAACAAAAGTCAAATGTTTGGATTCCAATCATTCATTTTCAAATGTAGTTCTTCCTGTTTTTACCAAAGAGTTTACACAGTTTTACAGTTTTCAGAACAAATTATTCTACTTAATTATTCGACTGATTTACAAATCATGTTCCCTTATTGCACCTACCTCTATGAATTTACAGTACTGAAGCATTTCTCTGATATTTGTGTTTTATTTAGTAGTTAGAACTTAAAACATATGAACTAGGTACTGTTTTATTTAAGGGATTTTTTCTTTGTTGTTGCACATTGCTCTTACAGTTTATTTAAAACCAGAAATAATAAAGCAGTTGACGTGTTTCAGGCTGTGACTTTTAGTATCTGTTGGTACTTCATCACTTTGAATAAGTGTAAGTCAACACCAGGCCACGCTTTCAGTCTTTCCATTAAACAAATGAACAACAATCCATTATTTTCACCATTAAACAGTAAAATATGCTTCTTGACTCCTTGATGCAGGTGCCCACCTACGACCTGGTTTATTAATACTAAGCTAAAGAGGAAAGCAACTCACTGTAGTTCTCACAGCTCAGGACAAGCAGACACCTGATGTTGAGTGACTGAATGGAACTAAAACAAGAATTCATAATTATGTTTGTCTGCCATGAACACGTGATGATAAAACTCTGCATATGCAGTCAGGAGACTGATGACCTGTGAAATGAGCTGTTAGAAATGTGCAGATATGTGTAAACAGTGATCAGCATTTAACATCCAGGATGGAGCAAAACTTCTGACCTGCATGTATGAGAACCTTTAATCACATCATCTTTGTAGCGAAATAGCTGATGACTCATTAAACGTTTCCATGTAATTTATCCACAGTGAAAAACATTCACTTTGCTTGATCTGAAAATCACGTGTTCATTTCATTAGACACTAGCAATACTATTAAACTGGACCTTATCATTCTCATATAGCACTAAATGTGAAACTGAGTCATATCATAACAATCTATATATGTAATATGTGTTTGCCTGAATCTTCCAGCACAAACAGAAAGAGGAGCTGTTGTCTGAGTATCAATGCAAATACACACCAGAAATCGTTCAGTAAAGACAAATTTAATACATGAAATCTGGTGAGAGGGCCTTTGATGTTTCTCTTTGGATCGTCCTTCCATCCATTTCTTCAGCTTATCCAATTCAAGATTGGAGCCATCCCAGCTGTTATGGGGCCAGAGGCAGGAGTACAACCTGGACAGGTCAGTCTAACACAGAGAAACAGACAACTATTCACACTCACATTCAACCTAACTGCATCTCTCTGGACTGTGGGATGAAGCTGGAGTACCTGGAGGGAACCACAAAGGCGCCAGGACTGTCTTGCTCTCAGGTGACGGCCGTTCACGCTGCTCAGTTGTCTTTGGATCATCCTGTTGTTTGTCTCCCAGTGTCGTTGCTGCTCTTCTCCTTTCAAAGACAAACACCAAATAACACCAAATGAGAGTGAATCACTTCAGAACAACGGGAACACTCCTGGTTATTGTGAGCAAACGTCATAACAAGATGAATATATTTACCATTTTACTGAGGGAACATCTTCTGTGTGGAGTTTCTTCTCATCTTGGCTCTTTTTCCTGACATTTAGAAACAAGAGGCAGAAAAGAAAGAATAAAAGTTAAAACCTCAACGATTTTTTAATGTTTGGGATATTTTAGAAACAACCCTAAACACTATTTACTACTTACCACTTTGTTCATTCTTGCTGACGTTCACTCTCCTCATCTTCTCTCTAAAGGACAAATGACAGTAAAGAGGGAATCGTTTTAGTAACTTTATCAACCAGGTGAGCAGAATTTTAGATATTTATCAATATTCTGATTAAAAGCAGAGTGAATACTTATCTTTTTACGAGAAAGGGTTCAATCCGTCCTGTCTTAGGTCTTAATGTCACCTTGTCTCCTCTCTGTTTTCTCTGAAAAACAAAAGACAAATGGGAAGAAAAAAATTAGTAAATGATTTCAGCAACTAGAGGAAGTGTTCACTGAGGAGGAGCTGTCATAATAATATAAAATCAATATGTACTTATCTTTTTTTTAATGAGAGTTTACAGAGCACGCTGGCTTCGCTCCTCCCTCCGCTCCTCTCTGAAAGTTACCTGGATAAAGGATAATAACAATTAATAGCATCATCAAAACAGACAAACCTGAAAGAATTGCTGATCAGAGTTGTGACAGAGTCGCAGGTTAGATGGATGTATACTTATCTTTCACAATGAGAGCGTTTGCATCTTCCTTTAGAGAGAAGATGAGGAGAGTGAACGTCAGCAAGAATGAACAAAGTGGTAAGTAGTAAATAGTGTTTACGGTTGTTTCTAAAATATCCCAAACATTAAAAAATCGTTGAGGTTTTAACTTTTATTCTTTCTTTTCTGCCTCTTGTTTCTAAATGTCAGGAAAAAGAGCCAAGATGAGAAGAAACTCCACACAGAAGATGTTCCCTCAGTAAAATGGTAAATATATGTGTTCTTTGTACTTTAAATGTGTAAAATGAGTTCTTATCTTTTTTTTGTGAGAGGGCCTTTAATGTTTCTCTTTGGATCATCCTTCCATCCATTTCTTCAGCTTATCCAATTCAAGATTGGAGCCATCCCAGCTGTTATGGGGCCAGAGGCAGGAGTACAACCTGGACAGGTCAGTCTAACACAGAGAAACAGACAACTATTCACACTCACATTCAACCTAACTGCATGTCTCTGGACTGTGGGATGAAGCTGGAGTACCTGGAGGGAACCACAAAGGCGCCAGGACTGTCTTGCTCTCAGGTGACGGCCGTTCACGCTGCTCTGAAGACCCTCAGTTGTCTTTGGATGAAATAACACCAAATGAGAGTAAATCACTTCAGAAACACAGGAACACTCGTGGTTATTGTGAGCAAACGTCATAACAAGATGAATATATTTACCATTTTACTGAGGGAAAATCTTCTGTGTGGAGTTTCTTCGCAGCGTGACTCTTTTTCCTGACTTTTAGAAACAAGAGGCAGAAAAGAAAGAATAAAAGTTAAAACCTCGACGATTTTCAAATATTTTAGGACATTATTTTAGAAACAACCTTAAGCACTATTTACTACTTACCACTTTGTTCAGGCTTGCTGACGTTCGACATGCTTCACTGTATATTATAATCTCAAGCGCTTCCTTGCTGGACTCGGGCTCCGGATGCTGCTCTCTTCCTCCGGAGCCTTCCTCTTAGCACGCTTTGCCGACATATTTAGAAAACGGCAGAGCACCGAAGTGAGAACTCTGCCGTCCGCGCTGTAGTCTGTTATTCTCCAGCGGTTCGTCATCTCAGTGTCCTCTGTTCGGTAAACAGTGGAGATGACTCTGGTGACGAGGAGGCCGTCGACAGTCAAGGTGCCGACACGGTTCCTCCGATCTGCCTTCAGCACAGCAAGATCCGCTTTCTCTGGAAGAACTGGAGTCAGGAAGCGTGGATGAGAGCTGGAGCCCGCAGGCGGCAGCATCATGCCAGCTGGTGAGTCCGTAGGAGGAGAAGGAGTGGTGTTCTCTCTCTGGCTCTGCCTCACATGGACAAATGGTGTCGTCACCTGGTCCCGATGGAACAATCCTTTAAAAGGTATGTAAGGAAAGTCCTTGGACCCCGTCACCAGGTTATGGTAAAGAGTGAGGACCAGGTGGGACATGGAGTCCAGTTGGCTGCTGCTCAGTTCACGGTTCCTCAAGTTAATGACGACCATCTGAGGAGCAGTGATTGGACTCACCAGCTCAGCTACGAGAAAGCAAAGCATGCGTGTACGTTAATCATGTGATCACACAAACTAAAGCCTGAATTTAAATTGTCCAGACATGGCTTTACATCATCATAAGCTCTTCCACACACAAACAGTAAGAAGCTCCCAGCAGAACTCATTGTTTATGAAAGCCTTCACCTTTTTTGGTAAAAGTTTTCATGCAGTGTAAGGCTGCATGGACTTTCACTGAGGTTTTAATACGCATTCACATTAAGGAGTAATATCTTCATATTAGTTGAGCATCGATATTTTGAGAATAAAGCAGCTACATTTAGGTGAGAAACCTCCCACCTCCTTATTGCAGGCACACACTGTTTCAATCTCAAACTCATCCAGCGACTCTGTGAACTTTTAAAACTCCATTCTCCAGCTTTATAAAATTCACAATCTATGAAACTTTCACGTATAACTCAGCGCCAGCAGCCCAAACATGTCAACTCAAACCCTCTACATGCAAAAACGGCCGCGCGCTGACGTCAGCGTCCTCCAATGCCTTACGTCGTTTCCAGGGCGCGTGCATTCAATTGTTTTTTTTTCCAGCGATTTAAAAAAAAACATGGCGCCATCTTTATAGTGTACTGGCACATGTTAAAATTGATGTTACTCAAGTATGAAACATCTCATCCTAAACGTTAACACTCATGAAGTCCTACTTCCAAACAATAAAAGACAAAAATCTAAGTTGTATTTGTTTGCTAGCACTCTGACATATTAGCCTGCTGTACTCACCATAGCGTTGATCTAACACCTCGTCAATAAAAAGGGAGAACAGGTGCATCTCGCGACTGAAGTTTGTAGAAGTCATTTTGCAAATCCTTCTTGAAGATTTTCAAACGTTGGCTGTAGTTTGAAAAATCCGAGTTTTCACAGCACTAGTGGGAAAAAGCTCCTGTTTGCGCTCAAACGTGAAACCCGAATTCCAATTTTGCCTCCTGCTTTTATACCTGCACTCAAACACGTCATCATCACCATGACTCCCAGTGCCACCGAAAATCAATTTTATTTATTTAAAATAAAGTTCGTCTAATTATCATAGCTTTTTCAAAAAATATATATTTCTCATTTTATTTTACTGTTTTATTCATCCTTTATAAAAAATATGTTGCCAAACTTTGTCGTTTTAATTCTTTAAAAAAATCATTAATTCACCAGTTTACAAAAATGAAGATCGATATCTGAAATTTTAATTAATAGATAAATAATTACAATTGATAATGGATTTTTAGCATTAAAGAATAGTTTTTCAATGCGCTTTAAATGTTATCAGGGCCGATGTTGTGCCAAAAAGTGATCGCAGTCCAAAAAGTGATTTACGGTACTGAAACGTTTGTTTGTGTCATGACATTTGTAAACGGTTGATGTTTAAGGTGCAGTTCACGTGGAAGCCAGAGGAGGGTGGTGTTGTGCGCATAATACAAAGTGATGGCGAAACCTAAAAGACGGTGTCATGTCTGCTCCCTGAAGCAATCTCATAACAGTTTCAATCTATTTCAACCCAGTTAGCACATTTCTGTTATGAAGTTTAATAATTTTTTGGCAGTAAACTTTTAAATCCTTTTATTATGAATATCACGGTTTCAGATTTTCAAGAGAGACCAGACCAATAGGGCAGCAGAAATCACAAAAATAAATAAATAAATAAGAGTTTTATAAAGTTTAAAACAGTAAAAAAAAAGAAAAAGAGAGAGAGACTGGAATGATTATGATGTATAACACAGAATATGTACAATAACAGAGTTATAAACACGAAAACACGTGATACTTTTTATTTCATCTATAACCTCTGTGTAAATTTTGTTGATTGCAAAGTGTTTATGAATGTTTTTAAAAGCTGGTTATCTGACTGTCAGTTAATAGCAATTAAAAAGAAAGCTGATTTTTATTATTCCTAAATGGAAAAAGTCCATTATGAATTTTTGTTATGAATTTCATTTATCAATCCACCTCCTCACTGCTCTTTCCCGGTGCAGCAGCCAGAGCTGGATCAAGCAGCCAGATGGTTTCTGGAGGAAGACTAACTGCAACAAAGGGTCTCTGGGAGGCTGCTCAGGCACAGCAGCTGAAAAATCAAAGATGAAATAAAACCTGGACCTGATCATGGTGCTGCATGAGACAAAAAGTCTAGATGATAAACCAGTGTATGAATTGGTAACACTGCTTATGATGATCATGTTTAGATGGAAACTAGCGAGCTAACTTACTGCAAACCTCTAACTCAGTTAAATTGAATAAACTCTGTTTTCATGGATGCCTGGATGTTAAACTTAATTGTTAAACCCGGTAAAACAGCAACGCTGATCATTTTATTAAAGATGAAAGAAGTTAGACCGTTTTTAGCTCTCAGTGATCCCTCAGTGTTCGTTTGACTTTGGGACCTGAAATATGGCAGCTTTTCACTTACACATTTTTGAACCACTCATTCATAGAAATAGTTTCCAGTCAAAGATCTGGACAGATCCACCAAGTTCACAGTAGTTTTTCAATTTTCTGCAGCGCAGAAAAAAAAACCCTGAAAACATCACTCCTCTGAAGTAACACATTGTGATTCATGTACAAACAACACACAATTATTGTAGATTCTTCAAAGCCTCCTTATATTCAACACTTGGGTAGGTGGTGTTATACATGCCCTCACAGCACCGGCACATCAATCACCCTATTTTCACCTTGTCACCTTCATTAAGCTGCTCTCTTTCTACAGAAGGCCCACCGCATGCATGGGGGGGGGGGGGGGGGGGGGGGGGGGGGGGGGGATACCGTGGGCCAGGGCTGTGGCATCTAACGTCTGGTTGTCAGTGTCCTTTGGAAAAGCAAGTGATTGTCCTAAAATCAGATGTTCCAGCAGATTGATCTAGTTTGCCAACAACATGAGAGGCTGCTCCTACCTGTCCTGGTGAGCTGGGCATAAATCAGTGACCTCTGACCCTGGAAAAGTGTTGTGATTAGTGGAGAGAGGACAGTGACAGACACTTCCTTTGGTAAATCCAATATGACTGAGATGTTGACCACAGTCAGCTGCAGAGCAAACTGCAGCGACTGCATCACCTGAAAAATAATGAAAAACCCTGAAAAAATATACATTTATGTTTTTGGAATTTATGTCTTCTGTTCAAATAATAAAATCATCTTGCCTTTTCATGATAATTGTTATGACTCATTGTCTTACTTTTGGTTGCATCCTGTCAGTCCCTGTGATGAACTGAGCGTGACCTCCTCCTTGGCCATCCCATTGATGAGAGCAGAGCTGGCCCCTTCCCCAATCCCAAAAGAGAAACACCTGCAATACAACAGCTGTTTTTAAGACACACAGGTTTGGTACGCAGAGAACCTGAATTCTCAATCACTTCTTTGGTGTTCCCCACCTCTCCATCAGTAAAGACAAACAGCAAGAGAGGAGAGTTTTTTCACCTACACAAGCAAAAGCTCAACTCTTTGGCAGGTATACAAGTATGCTTTCAGTAATCTGTTTTAGCAAGTAAATCAAACATAACCTGGAGTTTTGCAGAATCATCCAAAGGCAACATGGTGTTTTACAGTGATATCACTTTAAGTCACTGAGATCACATGAATACAACTCACGGGAAGATGTGTTCACAACGAGACCCCAAACTGTAAAATGTTTGAATAGCAGCCCATTGGTAAACTCTTCAACAGGAGCAGAGGACTGTCCTGAAGGGAAGAGGAAAAGATGGTGAGGCCACTGTGTGAGAGGAACGATTTGAGGAAAGATTTTGTAACTCTAACACCACTTTATGAATACTCTGGCACTGCTGGTGCGAGTATTACTCATATTTTCAGATTGATTCACTACCAACACAAACTCTCCACATGAAGCCATTGAACACATCAGAGACATGAAAAGGACAGAAAAATGTCAAGTTTACAGTTTCTAATATATTCCAATACAATTAAATTCCAGGTTGAAGAACTGGGATCTTGAATTTTTATTTGCAAACTAATGACTTCACTTATTTTTCACTCACCCGGCTCAGCAGAGGCCTGTCCTGCCTCCACCACAGCAGTGGGCTGGTGGGCGTCTTTGTAATAAATCAGCAGTTCAACATCTCTGTCAAACTTGTGTCCTGCAGCCAGCTTGACCTGCACACCACAAACACATTCATATTTATTCCTCAGGAAGAAGTAACAACCACACACAGCAGACACATCAGCACTCTACCTACCGTGGCCTGGGTTTGATCAGTGTTGAGGTACTGCAGAGGGTCCAGGGAGCAGTTGGACTCTACTTTATGGATTGGACGAGGAGAGGAGACAGAAGAAACATCACTGGACAACCAAAACTATTTTACAGCTATTTTAGTTTAAAACCATAAAAAGTGACAGAAAAGGAATATGTTTGTTTTTGTAAATATGCTCTTGACTTTTATGATCTATGGATGGTATAATGACAAATATCAGTATAATGAGGAAAACATCATCTTTGCCTCTCTTTTTTTTAAACAAACCTTTAAAGTGATATAAGATTTTATGTCAGCGAGAGTTAGTGAGTGTTAAGTAATTATAAACCTCTTTATGATCTAACTTTTGGAAAAAATAAGGGACACTCCACATAACATTTTCTTAATTAGTTAAAACTATTTACTGATATAAAGTCATGACATTTGGCCAGCTTGAAGATGGAGAGAAAGACACTCTTTTTTTATTAATCCTTTATTTATCCAGGTAAAAAAAAATCTCATTGCGATTAAAAATCTCATTTCCAAGAGAGACCTGGCATCATGGCAACAAAAGTCACATACCACATAACATTTAAAACAAATACAATATCCCATACCAACATGTGTAAAATATACAATAACACATTAAAAACAATCACACTGAGTAAAAGAGCTGTTCTCTCGTTCCTTTAAGACAGACTTAAACTCTCCCAAGGTAACCAATTCTAATAATTTGAGTTCCTTCTGCAGATTATTCCAGGAAGCAGGGGCAGCGTATTTAAAACCTTTTTCCCCAATTCTGTTCTGATTTTTGGGACAATCAATTGTATGATTTTGTTCGAACGAAGGCTGTATTGGTTGTGGTCTTTCTCGAATTGATGAGATTCTAGATTGGTTTTGGTGTTTCTGTGTGAAATCAGTAAAAACATGAACATAATCGCCATCTAGTGGCAGAGAAAAGGAATTAAAACACTTTGTGAATGAGCTGCCACAGCAGTGGTCCAATCTTCTACTGTGTTAGGAGTATTCAGACAATTTTGACATACTTTTTTTCCACAATGGTAAAACCAATATTAGGTACATAATTCATGACAAATAAACATGTAAAAGGGGTTGATGATATAAAACAGCTCTGTATCAAAGGCAGTGTGGAGTAAGCAGACCTGCTTCTGTTCACTCTGAAGATGAAGCTACTTTAAGAAAACCCTCAGAGTCCCAGAGCTTCTTTCTTCACGCTGCAGCCCAGCAGAACATTTCCAGCATCCACACACTCGACTTGATTTGGCAGATTATTACACTGGATGCTCTTCCTGATGAAATCCCAAACTGTGATGTCATAAATGCTCTAAAATAATGTGCTGACATGTTTTTACAACAACTGATGAGGAAAATAATTTCTGCTGCCGTGTGGTTTCTGGATAATATCAGACGCTGGTGCAGCTCAGTGGGAGGTTAGGAGTGTGATTACCACCAGTGTTTTAGCTTCTGATATGCAGATGTTTATTCTCAGGCTGTGAGGCAGGCCTACGTTTAGTTTGACTTCATTTTATATGTTTTATGGTGTGTTTTTAATTATATCATGTGTTTTTGTTCAAATTATAGATTCAAATCTGTTTTATCTCACATCATCATTTTGTGTTAATATTTAAATTGACAGCAGTGCATCTTTTCAGGCTTTGACTTTTCCACCTCCTCGTTGGTCTGTCCCAGTGCAG